TCATGTAGAAATAGGCTGAAATTTGGTATATATAATATATAAAAGTGCTGCTGATACGAAGTAGTTGAAATCACGTCATTTTCTTTCAGTTTTTAGGGTTCCGTTCCTTACAACGAATATTTATGGGAAATCCTTATAGTCTGTGAGACTCTTAGTCAAGACAAAAAGTTTCTCTGGCATGCGTTTAGGCATCAAGTTCAAACTAATGAGAAATACTTGAAGTTGTAAAAAATCAAGCTTCTAAATAAATACATTCATAAGCTACGGCCGTTTAAACCTCATATTGTACCTAATGGTAAAGTACTTCATGAAGTTTGCCGCGACTTGTAGCACTATTAAAGGATAAAATCCGCAAATCGATCATTTGTTTTGTAATTCGTCAAAAACTGGCAAAACCTTTGACTCCCGGGAGAGTCTATCAACATTTAAGTAAGGAAATTCTATTCACTAAGGATATTGGCCGGCACTGAAAAAAAAGCAAAAAAGGAGGAAGAAATGAACTGATAAGATCAGCAATTGTATGTACTTCAATATTGCCGCGATGGAGCCGGAGGCCAAATTGGGCGGTTTTATGAATCTGTCTGTACGTACATACCTAGTACATTGTTGATACATAATTAGATGCTGTACAATATATTACAAATATTTCACGAGGCAGTAACTACTAGATACACGTTTAAATAATAATAATAACTTCACACATCCCACACATGGCAGTCTGATCCCAAACTAGGCAGAGCCTGTATTATGGTAAGCAGATTCCTAATAAATATACTTATATTTTTAAACACATACATTATTTGTGTGAGCAGATTAGAAAGTTCTGCTCACAAATTAGTCCTTCCACGATTCTCCACTTGCATCTAAGTGAATAAGTAGAAAGGTACATGCTACTTTTTTTTATTTTCTTTTATTTTTAAAGACATCTGTCGTATTAGAAACATATCGCGGAAGCGGACACAAAGAACACCAATACTCAGAACAACAATGAACAACAAAATTGATGTCTCAAACCTGGTCGTGGTGTTTCGAACCCATAACACTTAGCGACCGCTTAAACCACTACGCCATCCGTGAAGTCATGGGTACCATTGAATGAGTATCCGCGGAGGTTTGACATCAACATACAGTTGTCCATATGTAGTACACTAAAGCAGCAATTTCCAGGGCAGGGGTCTAGAACGTTGGGTGGCCCTTGAAAAGGACCTAGTATTTCAACCAACCCCAAATAAATTAGACCTCTGGAAATCAATTATACCCTACTCATTAAAATAATATGATAGAATGATATGTATATGTAATAATATGTGTGTATATGTAATAATATGTATATTTATGCATAAGTATGATAGATATATAGAATTATTCTGTGTAGTATTAACATCACTGTGTGAAACTGAATACTTTTCTTTTGTTTGAACTGTTTTTAAACATAATTTCGGTATGCTCTTTGCTTTTTAATGAATATCAAGAGGTGGGTGTTGATTTTAACTAATCGTAGACAATAGGCGAATCTTAATCACGTTATACCTATACTTAAAGGTGGCATGGTATGCTCCATGCCTGGCCTAGAATGCCATGCTCATCGATGACAATTAAAAAAATTGTCTGGTAAGCATATATGTTACAACCTGGAGATCTTAAAGCTAGTCAAATTGCCGAGTTAAAATTAATTAACGATTAGTTTAACAACTAGTTATTCCATATTGTAGAAAGAGCGCAATTGCTTTTCGTACATTCTCAAATCATTAATAAATGTTTGAAATTTAATGCAGAGTGAAACGTTGTAAGAAGTTACATAATCAATTTCAAAATAACAAAATGGAAGTACTCGTAATCAGGATTTTAAAAGCCGCCGTATTACTGTGACGTGTCTATATTGGCCCTCATGGTATATAAGTAAGTAAATACATATTTACTCGCCAGAACAAACTCAAACAGAAGAAAAATATAATTATCGAAAAAACAAAAAGAACACACTTCGAGAAGTTCTCGAAAACACGATTTTCCTTGCGTAACCAATGTGAATTTTTTGTCGTAAAACGTTGAGACACCTGTGACAACACGTTCCAAATCTGCGCCCCAATTATGCTGAAAATTTTCCACAGAAAACATCTATGCTAACAACGAAACAACCGCGTATGGAAATCACCGAAAAAATCTTCCGAAAAATTCGCTTTTTTTCTAAACCTACTTTTTTTTAAATAATAATCTTAGTACCTAACGCAGGCCATATGTCTTAAACAAACAAAGCAAAGTGCGTTGGTCGTCCCGGCTGGAGGCTCCACCTGCTGGCTTTGCCACCGTGGAGGCGCTCCAGCCGGTTATCAATAAGTGGGCAGGGCGGCAACGGGACCCTTTCCTACCGACTGACGCAGGTTCTTGCCGGGCAAGGCTGAAAGTACGTGCACTCGGTCGCTAGGAGGGAATTGAGTCCCACCTGTCACCACTGCAATTGCAGTGTGACAAGTGGTACCTACTCAATTCCAGACTCAATTCCGTCGGGTCCTCACTGCAGTCATCGGAGGAGATCTCTCGCTACCGGCCGTAATACGCTCCATGGCCGGTAGTGATAGTTGTTTTACCGCGGTCGCATTCTTCTGCGAAGACGTCCTCTCGCAGAAGGAGGTGGCGGAGAGGGCCCGGGAGGAGGCGACGTCCGCGTGTACCGGACGTCGCCTAAATGGAGAATGTACCCGAAGATGGTGCCCGCGCTATTGCGGGCAGGCGCTAGGAGGGGTCCGGATGTCTTAATAATAGCAGTTCCCGGATCTCTCCTATTACAGGCGCAGAGTGGCACACCGTGTGGTTTTAGTCAGTCTGATTCCGACACACCACCCCGACGCAAACCCCGGTGGGAAGACGGTTGGAGGGGGTTTCCACACGTAAAAAAAAAAGGAATGGGTTCCCGTCGTTAGTTTGCACCTTTATTGGTAAAGTATATTAAAATATATAATTTATATTCAAACCCCCTTTCTAAAGAGAGGCCTATGTCCAGCAGTGGGCTTCTACAGGCCATTGATAATGATGATGCTATAATTTATACAGAGTGTTACAGAAAGTTTTTTTGAATGATTTGTAATTTGAAAACAAAAATGGATTTTGAAAAGGCTTTTTAGCGTAGGCACATATTTAGAAACATATTAAGTATGAACTTTTAAAGCAGTTTCAATAATTTTGTTTTTGTATTTTTATATACCTAAATACATTTTCAGTAATCATTTAAAAAACTTAATTCCATAGTGTCATTCACATCATTTCTGTCTCATACGAAGTATTAGCTTCAGCAGACAATTTTCAAATTCAATCTGTCACTTTCAAAAAACAACAATTTTAAATGAAAATCACAAATTTTCTTAAAATTATGCACGTGGCGTAATATCGCGTTGCGTTATTTTCAGAGTACTTATATTAAATCAAATCACACCTTTCGATAACAAACTTCATAATACTGAAATCGTGAAAATTTTGAAATAATTCAGTGGTTAAGTATATTGGTCCTGCTTTTTGTATGTGATTAATATTATGTGAAGGGATTTAGTTATGTTTGGTATAAAATTATCGTTATAACGCCATATAAAATAGCATAACCTAACACTAGCTATCTTAAACCTTAAATCTTGGAAATTATGCTCAAAATTGATTAGTGGATTGAGAAATGTGTCACTAAATGCTAAACCATGGCATTTTTAGTTCTTGCAGAGTCAAAAGGGTATACAAATTAAAGTAATTTCATTTTATATTATATATACTGTTAAACGCAGTAGAAGAACAATTATCTATGAGGTTTTAGGTTCGAGTCTCATTTACCTGCTATTCAAATTATTGAACGAAATTAAATGACAGCCTTTCTTGGCTTTCGGATGTAGGTATGTGTTAAAAGTTCTTTGATTGTTAAAACCGATAACATAGCTAACTTAACCGACACAATGTGGAGATAACGGGTTACATTAGGTACGTTCATTATTATTTTATTTTTGTTTGAAACAAAATTAATAACTTAATAATACGGCTAACAATACATAGGTGCCTACCTCTCTAGGATGTTTTTTGAACCAAAAAAGGAACATCTTTAACTTGCCGAATCATAAATTCCTCGTCATCTTCTAAGTATTGGTACTTTTGTGGGTAGTTCTAGATAATGAATCAAATGAACTGTGATAGCAACTGACAATTCAGCTGACGGGTAACGGAGGGTCTAACGGAAACAGGCATCATACAACAATGGCTATCGAAACTTAAAATACATTGTAATATTGAAAAAAATATCAACATCTGGCCATTGTTAGTGTCGCGGGGGAGTCAGAGAGTATGAAATAAATAAATAAATAACAAAACGTCGCCACCGCACGCGTCATTATTCAAGTGCGATTGACAGCCACTTCCACCGATCGTAGGTATTGTACAGAGCGCGGGGTCGCTCGCGGCCTCAATAATACGCCTACTTATTGCCGACGAGCAAGCCGTGAAACTGCGACTTCTCTGTTTGATACTTGTGCTCGGAATCTTGAATCACCTAAAAAGGTGAAACACGAAACAGATTTCACGAAAATGCTTCACTTGATTGACCGAAACATAGAAACGATGCATGTTTTGATGTCTAAATCCTCAGTGAAATTATATACAAGAATAATCAAAACAAACACTTTCTGTTCTGATCTTTTTTAATGGACTTAGAGCAGAAGTAAAATTGATCGGGTTTAATTTTAATATAAAGAGAATTATTTTCAAAAGTAAATTATTCGTAACAGTTGGTACAAACGCAAGTATCAAGAGCATGTGAAGAAACTTCCTGGGATTGGGAATGATTTTTTAAGACGTGTGCCATCACAGTGAACAACGGTGGCGAATCGCAAACTTCATGAATAATATAAATTCTATATTCTTATTCAATAAAAACGACGAATAAAAAGATCATTTATCATAAACGTCACACGCATTGAAAGCAGACCGTCTTTTATAACTTTTAAATAAACATAGTTTTTGGTATAACGTACAAAATGGTGCGTAGCGAATTTTTTTTTAATGTGTTTTTAAGAGGACAAGGGGTGCTAATGAGTGGAGGACACCCACGCGGGAATGATAACGCACTATTTGAAAAGGTGAACAATGTTTGCAAAAGAATTTTATGCTATAGTAAGAAAAATTGTATTTTGTGCTATAGTTTCAAATTTTTGGTTCAAACCCACACACGAGGAAACTGTACGAAAACCTACTAAAAATCATCGCCTCTCATTAGTATCAAGTCGTAATATTATATGTATAATCATAGTCCGACTATATGTAAATAATATGAAGTTTAATGATTATATTATGAACTCGACTCGTTACGCCCGTCGCTTTAACGATTACCCCAAAAATAAAGTTCAATTTCATTATACATTCTTCTTCTTACCCTTTTTCCTAATTTTTTTTTGGGTCAGTGCAATTACTTCTTAGTATCCGTGAACGGCATAGATGTCTTAAAAGGTTAAGTCATTGACCTCTGCTATACAAGAATGAGTTAAATCATCTAAGCCGGTATACACCTGCAACACGGTCGTTATTTAAAAAAAATAAGAACATTTAATAAAATATGTTACTTAAACATGTTTAAAATATGTTAATAGCATTCAGTCCGCCTATTTAGACTAGATATTCAGTGTTCTGGTATTGATTAATGAGTAGAATAGACAGTTTATAAAGACATTTAATTAAATAACAAGTAGCAAATTAATGTAAGTATACGGTATAAGTATAAGCTAAGTACCTATGATGATAGTGCCAATACACCGAAACCGGTTGACATGCACTCGCAATCCAATGTGTGCCTAGTCACTACGCGAGAAGGCGCTTTTTACAGTGATTGCGATCGATCAATAGTTCTCGCGAGAACACTATCACATAGATATCTTTAACTTTTTATAATTCACGAATACCACAACGCCACACCGTACTGCTACTCAATAAAATTGCTCTTTAAGTATGGAACACAGTGAGCAACTGATTTTCTGATTATAGTTTTCGAAATATACCTGGCTAACGTTAAGCGCTTCTTTAAGATGGTTTAAACGACGAATGATTTGTATTACATTATCAAAAAGTTCATTTTTAAATAGTTTTTCATTTTTGATCAAAAAATAAAATGGCATGTATTTGGTTACTTTTCTCTAGATAATATGTCGTCTAAGTACTTATACATTTTTGCCGTCTTACGGAAAATTATTTTGTTAAAGCATTTAGGTATATAACACGAAAATAAAAGTTGAGCATAGTAAGAAGGCTGAAGAATATCCGGGAAAGGACAGAAGTTGAAAGTGCTGTAGAACGAGACTGCCAACTTTCTCGGGGACTTAAAAAAGAAGAAGAAAATAGAGTGTTTGAAGATCTTTATACAGTCGAAAGAGATCTTATTTTTGTAGATGTATGTGTAATGTAATTAAGTATATCGTATTGTGACCAAAAGTTGAATTGAAATCCTCCTAGTCTTAATACTTTACTACAAGAATACCTTTTATGACATTTGTGAGATCAAGAGTAGATAGGAACTGAATTATTAACGAATTTTTATTACGAGAATTGACCTTCTGATATTTTATATTTAGCCTAGCTTTTGCCAGTGGTTCCGCAAGTGGCCTGCCCTCTAAAATGTCCTCAAGAATCAAAGTGTCTCCATGTAAAATTTCATTAAAATTTATAATATTAGTAAGGATTTTGAGATCAGAAGCTTATGGAGTGTAAAGGTAATGAGAACCATCTCTGTGTATGAAAAGTAGGTATTCGTCAAAATGCGTTAAATTGAGGGCGCTAGAGTAGCGTCAGGACATTTTTTTGAAAGAAAGTGCCAAGAGTTGTTAGAGTAGGATTGAGAAATAAACATTGAAAGATTGTTTATTGATTGAAACATTCAATCAAGATTCATTCAAGATTGAAACATTGTGTAAAATTTTAATTGGCTTACAAAAAAAAAACGTGTAAACTTTCAGACGGGAAAAATATTTCAATATTTTAACTGAAACTTCACTCCATCTACAACTGCTACGTTTATGTCATTCCCTTCGTCTATACTAGCGCATTTCTGGTTGGTTTTAGAACTAATATTTACTGTTTAAATCTGGACACTTTTTCAACTATCCCCCCGTACAAAAAATGTACAATAAATTGTCTTAATAACATGATAGATATGCTGACTGCACGGATGGCGTAGTGGTTTAAGCGGTCGCCACGCCGCTTCCTAATACGCCGAGTGTTGTGGGTTCAAAACCCACATAGGACGACACTTTGTGTGATCCACAAATTGTTGTTCTGAGTCTGGGTGTTCTTCGTTTCATGTATGTTTGTAAAGTCCGCCAAACAGGAAATTTACCTAATGCGGGAGTTGTCTTTTAAAAAAAAAAAGCAAAAAAGTAATAGATGGCGTGATTTAATAATATTTTTTGAAGTGAAAACTTCTTTAGGCTCGTTGGTCCTTTTTGAACAACAAACAAAATGATATATTTTTTGAGATGGGAAAAAAATCATTGAACTCGCGACACTGTTACCGTTACCGACACCTTTGTATAAAAGTATCTATCGAAATCTATTAATCGACAAAAACAATAATTTTGCCCGTTATTATCAAACACTTTTTAATTTTCAAGTTATCACTTCTGTCGGCACTCCCAGAGGGCCACTAATATTTTTCAGGCTTATGGTAGTTTCATAGTTTTTCGTAGAACTTTTCGTAGTTAAAAATGATGAAATTGATTTATAAAATTAAATAGGTAAATTATGTATAACCTACGACTATTTTAATTTATAGTTCTAAAATCCGTTTCACGAAGCCAACGATCGAGTCAGTCTAATTCATGATGGTACGAATTGTGAATGGTTAATTCATGTCTATTTTAACGCAGCCAGAATTAAGTTAGTTATCTAGAAAACATTAAATATAAGCCAAAATTATTTTAAGATACCTTAAAGTCAATCGAACTAAACAATGACAACTCGCCATTCAGTTACTATTATGACACTTGGCAACACTGAATGTGTTTGACAGTGACAATTACTCGCCGCAATTGTAATCGTGACTTTCAAAAAATTATTTTCTAAATAATAGTGCATAAACTAGTAATCAATGTAAGTATTTATTGTCATAACTTTTGCTGCTTTTATTTATACAAATAAGTTTCATTACACGAGAACTAGCTATAACCTACTTGACATGACGCTACAGCAAACAAAATCAAAAACTATACACAATAGTGTTTCTTTTGAAGGCAAACCTACAATTTACACATGATTTAATATTTCTTATTTCAGAAACATGGCGACATCTGTTGTAAATGCATACACAGACCCTTGCATCCCGGAATGGATGAATGCACCTCACAGCACCGGTACCTCAATTATGGCGTGTGAATTTAACGGTGGTGTAGTCATCGGCGCTGACTCCCGCACCACTACTGGGGCCTATATCGCCAACAGAGTGACTGACAAGTTGACCAGAATCACTGATCATATCTATTGTTGTCGGTCTGGCTCTGCAGCTGATACCCAAGCTATTGCTGATATTGTTACTTATCATTTGAGTGAGTTTACTTCATAATTAGGTTTAAATAGACTATAAAACCTTAATGAAATATATTCTACCCATAGAATTTCAGTTCTATAAGTCCATGACATCACTTTCTATTTCATAGTAAAATATGTATTATCAAACATGTTTTTTTAGTTGACATGTCTAAAAAGACAAAAACTCCTAACCAATAACAGAAAATGTATTGCACCTCATATAAATCTGTTTTAACTCAAAAATACACTTTTCCCAATTCAGGAAAAAGTGTGTTGTCAGTGGCATAAGGTGCTGGATGGTGAACCAGGCTCTATTGTTCTACATACTCTTATAAGTATTCAAACCTGGGTTTTAAAATTCCATTTGTCTTGAAACACAATTTTTACTGAATCTTCTTGAATATAAGGGTGCAATATGAACCACACTTCAATTTAGAAGTACTCTTAATCTGGTGCCAGAAATGAACCACAGCCACCCTCTTTAAACATAACCTATCGAGTACCCTGATAACTTCTACTACACATTATGAATACATATTCAAATCAAGTTTTATATTGTGTAGATGTTGGTAAAACAAAAATTCAAATGAACTATTTTACTAACAGAATTATTCATAAATGGCAGATTAAAACTACACCATAGAAAAAAAAACTATGTCTTATGTGCAAAAATTATAAAAAAGAGGTTAGTTAAGAAAAGCAAAAACATAATTCGAGACGATAAAATATAGGATAATTATGTACCGACATCAAAATAAATACTGTGGTTCAAGGTACATCTATAGCCCCAACCATAATACCTAAATCATACCTCCATACCATACCATTTGGCCTCAGCGAGTGACTACTCAGTAATGTCTAAATTGGACAAAACAAATTGCGCAGAAGCTACAGAAATAACATAAAAAATATCTTGTTAATCAGATTTCCACAAGATGGAGCTTGGAGAGCAACCTTTAGTGCAGACTGCATCAGCTATATTCCGTGAGCTGTGTTACAACTATCGTGACTCTCTGGTGGCTGGTATTTTAGTTGCTGGCTGGGATAAAAAACTCGGAGGTAAAACATTTTAATCATATATGCACCTGAAGTGGACAAATAATAAATTTTGTTTATATAAAAGATATTTATGTGTCCACTTCACATTGCTGAACTTTCTTTTTCTAAAAGAGTTGTCTGAAGACACCTATAAGGGATTTTTAACCCAAAATAAAAAAAAATTCAACTTATTTTACTTTGTGACTGCACCATGGGTACAGCTAGAATAAAATTAACCAATCCATTGAAAGAAAATCTGGTAAAATATCACGAGACGACGACGACGACCCACCATCCTGTGTGTTTACTGTATAAATTATATCTGTCTTACCGTTCATCGTCGGCGGTAGTCACTTTCCATCAGGTGACCCGTCTGCTCATTTGCCCCCTCTTCCATAAACCATATCTGTTTGAATGTGAATTTAGGTTTTATTTTATTCTGATATAAATTTTACTTCTACAGGCCAAATCTACTCCGTACCTATCGGTGGAATGGTACAACGTCAAGCAGTGTCTATTGGAGGCTCTGGCTCAACATACGTCTACGGTTATGTTGACGCGAATTTCAAACCTAACATGACCAAGGAGGAAGCGATGAAGTTCGTCACCAACACCTTAACCCTGGCTATGCTCCGTGATGGTTCATCCGGAGGTGTTGTGCGTCTAGGTGTCATTTCTGAAGCTGGAGTCGAACGCTCCGTCATCCTTGGCGATCAACTCCCCAAGTTCTATGAGGGTTAATTTTTGTACTGGTAATTTTTAAGATAATAAAAATATTAAAACAATGTTATGTATGTCATTGCTATCGATACGACGCGACGGTCGACGTCGGAGTATGATCGCCAGTTCTTAACCCTGGCTCACTAACAGAAACCAGCCAGATCATAAAAAAATATGTAATGTTACAAACTGCACCGATCCCAAATAAAAGTAAGAAACAGGGCCGGAAAATGTTGATGAATTAGGTTGCAGACCAAAACCCATCCTTTTTATGTGCGGAAATAATCGTCATCGAGGGTCATGTGGGACTCGAACCGACTAATAAGTGCACGGCGTCTTGGGTACCAATAGCCAGTTGTAACCTAGAAAGGAAATCCCTAAAGGCCAATCGATTAAATACGCAAAACAATAGAAGTAAAACATTCCCTTTAATTTGCTTTGGCACATGTATGTGGCTAAATATACACAAATCACTTCTCATAAGTGCTAACTCATTTCCGAATACATGACAATATTTTTAAATGATTTCCCGAATTAGGAATAAATATTTAAACAAATCTTAAAATATGTAGCTCATACAAATTTTCGTCGACGTAATCCAGACAATTATAACATAAAAACTGCATATCTACAATATTCTTAACTACAATACCTTAAACAGTAAGTTATACATAACATTTAATACTTTAAGCTTAGGACTTATATTGCATTGTTTTTAATCTAGGTGACAACTCCGAGCTCCTCCATAGTATCTAGATCTCGCATCAACATCTGTATGGTTTGTTTCGTGCGCGGGAAGTAGTCAGCGGTCTCGTCGTCTTCAAACGAAGGATCTTGAGATTCCAATTCTGTTAAGCAGAGAATGAGATTAGATCATATTTTTGACATATAATTTTCTACAATTTAATTGGGACTGCTTTGTTTAATAGTTGTCAATTTTATAACAAATACATATAATGAGAGCACCGTCATTTATGAACTGATTTTGCATACTTCCCGTTTGGTCCCATTTAAATTTGAAGAAAAAACACCAACACAAAATGAGAGAATGAAGAAAACAGTCGATGAAAATTCATCATTCAGCAGTAGCAGCAATGTAATATTGTGTTAACGCTTATACTGTCACTATGATTTTTGGCGCGCCTAAGTACTGTGATTTTGTTTTTGTTTGCCCAACTCATTTGCTTACAACTTCTGTTCGTTTGTAACTAGAAGTGAAAACTTGTAATTGGCTCTCAGGTGATTGTGACATTTTTACTTATGTTTCCATTTCATTCCATTTCCATGTATGAGAAAAATAAATAAATTTACGTAGGCGCATTGAACTCGGTCATATTTTTGGAAAAGTAAATCTGTACTGATAGTCCAAACATCTCACTACGCGCTTATCTCAGGAACTACTGGTTCGATTACAAAAATCATTTTAGTGTTGGATAGATCATTTCTCGAGGAAGGTTATACAACAACACTCTACGTCCAAGTTTTGGAAGAACAGGGAAAACAGATTCGAAGTAGCGCGGGTCAGCTAGCGGTACCTGCGACCTGCGCCTCGATGGAGTCGAGCCGCGCGTCGACGAGCGCCTGGCAGCGCTGCAGGTGCTTGAGCAGGCGCTCGCGGCACGCGCTGTTCTCGATGGCCGCCTCCGGCTGCGGCGCCGCGATCGACGCGCGCGGACTCTCTTGTTCTAACAAACCGTTCATATACTCTTTTATTATTTGTACGGTACACAAAAACATTTATTAACACTAATAAAAAAATATTTTAGTTATACTACTATATTAAGAAGAGTAAATAGTATTATTTGTACACGATATTATTAAGTGAGAGTGTACTAATTTAAACACACAATAAACTAATATACTATACAAGTACAGAAATTAACTTCTAGTCAATAACGATACGATATATAGGACAAGAGTTAGACGTCCTGGCAATGGCAATCGTTAAATAAAAATCAATGAAAAAGTAGCATAACTCGGTTGAATCCTTAAATCCCTAAAAACAATCGATACTAATAAAAATACAGGATTCTAGTCACATTTCCACTAAATTCGATTTTTAATTAGAAATAACTTTTTCACAGAAACTATATAGTACTTCATGTTATTAGTGAACGCCAGTGCTGCATGCAGGAACAGTGTCATTACCTTGTACAGATTTGGCGAGGCGCTCAAACTCAGAAGTGCTGATAGGCAAGTCCAGCGAAGGTCCGCTAGGGCTGGACAGCAGGCCGCTCAGCAGAGACTGTGTACCGAGGGGCACATCACGCTGCAAAAACCTTCCAAAAACAAAAAATACATTAAATGAATGTTACTCTCCATTATAAATTATTGGTTAAATGGAGGAAGACTAAAGGGTTAACAGATTTCTATTATTTTTCACACACTTTTAAGAGCTCCAATTCTATTGGAAGCTAATTTTAACATATCCCTAATTTTATGAAATAAAACGAATCGACATTTTCATAATAGCTAGGCGTGGAGAGTAATACGAGTATATGAATTAAAGGGTGTTGTGAGCAAAAATGTTTATATAATCGATATTGACGGAATTAAAATAATTGATCTTTCGTCTGTTTGTATAGCTATACATGGAGCAACAATCACGTATTAGTAGTACATAGATAAAAACGAGTGTGCTTTAAACTACACTACTGAAGTAAATTTTCTTGACTATGAGAGAAAGAAAATGTGTGCTCGCACCACTCTCTCTTGCCGAAGACGAGATACGAAACGTAAACTCTCTCTCTTCGCCAACTTATATCTCCCTCTCAACTTCCGTTCGCCTCGCCCGATCACACTGTTCGTAACGCTCTCGTCACGCATTCACCAGCTTACTCCCCAAGTCAATCAAGCGTCATTAAAGAAGTTTTACTTTTCCAATATGGTTAACGTGGATAGCACAATAATGCATTAGCGAACAGCTGTTGATGTGATGGGTGAAATACCAGATGATCATCTAGTATTCCCATCTGGTATTTCACCCATCACATCAACAGCCTTTAATAGTCCACTGCTGGACATAGGCCTCTCCTTAAAAAGGGGGTTTTAGTCATTTTACCTATGCTTAGCAATAAATAAATAAAGACAAAGTAGGTAGTTCCGATCGAACGGTCACCGACCTTAATATCTGTAGATGTGTACATTATGTATGGTAATATCACCTGTCCTGTTCATGGTCTTCTGATGGCGATGTCCTAATGTCCAGCGGTATATCCTTAACATCATCGGGCTTGATCGGCAGGTTCTCCTTTCCGATGGTATTAATCATAATATTGAGGTCCGAATAGTCAGAGTTCAATCTTTCCTGTGTGTACTGAATCTCAGCATGCTCCCAGTCCTTCGCCCACAGGTACAGCTTGGGGTGGTCTTTTTTACTAGAATTTAAATTTGATATAACACTTTATTTATGAAATAAATATGTAATCATCAACATTATAATGTCTTCTTTTACTAACAGGATAGATCACTGATAAGTCAAAACAGCATATTTTTAATAAATTTCAAAGGATAGCCACTGTATATTTATGTATGAAATACTATGGCGTGACGTCATATTTTGCTTTAGTCAAATCATTTACAATTACTGTTGATTACAAGATATAAAAACACTAAATTAACAATGGAGGACAATTGAGGCTAAAATGCTAAATTTATTGATTTAAATTGGGATAAGGAAAATAGGGTTAAGGAGCTAGCTCGAATAACAAACGGGACTGAGGTTGCAGAAGAAAGAAGAGTGGGGTCAGGTACACGATCCCACTCCTTCGTTCCTCGTATGGCTGTTCCGTGATAGTTTTTTTTTAGATATTTAAGCATAATATTTAAATTTAGGTTTTTTACATAGTTTACGTACTGTATTTCTTTGAGTAAGACAATGTGTGTGACAATTAGGTACTGTTATATGCAAGACAGATTCACATCTAGTACAGTCACACAAACAATCACACATTACACACAAAGCGCATCAATTTTCTGGATTAAATAACAAATAAAATTGTTCACTAGGAGAATTACATGACCTAACTACTGGCATAAATACATGCAATGTATGCAGCAAAGAAAGGCGATTATGCAGTAGGTAGTATTCGACTCGATTTTTTTTCAATAGAGTAACTCACAGTGAAGCCAAAAGCATGAATGAAATAAATGTGTTAGGGATACTGACGTGGCCACGTAGTACTTGAGGCGGAGCGCGTGCAGCGCGTCGTGTATGCGCAGCAGGTTCCCGCTGAGCTCGTGCGAGCGGCGCAGCGACTCGCACGGCTTGGCGCCCGGCAGCAGCCCCTCGTACAGCCGGTCCTGGTCGTGCAGGAACCGCGCCGAGCGACGACCGCGCCGCGGGTTCAGGCAGATGCTGCACGTGTACTTCTCGGGAACCTGCGTACGATGTTTCAATTTGTGATTCGGTTTATATTCAGAGAACACGATCAGACTTGATACGTGTCGTTTATCTTCCTGAGGTGGGCGTTAATAGCTGCGACACGGTTATGAAACAGCAGCCATTAACGACCATAGTCTACTGTGCATTTAATTATTTTTTTTAATTTTTATTTATTTAGTAGGTTAGTCATAATGTGCCCAAACTACCGCGAAAAATCTTCAACCTTTAAAGGGGTTTGGATATCGTGCCAAAATTTGAGCTTAATCGATGCCGTTCTTTCGAGTTTTTAAAGCGCACACAAAGCACCTTAACATTTTTATATTATGTAAGTAAATGTTGATGATTAACTATTAAATCCTTAAGAAAGAATTTTGGTTTTGTAGCGTTTTCGATAAGTGATACCCTAAAAAAATACTGCTGCTATACTGCAGACATATGCGGACTACCCAAGACAAGGATAGTTGGCACTCCTTGGGGGAGACCCTTGACTCAGCAGTAGACGGCGATAAGTTGATAATGTTTTATAGAATACTAAGGAAACACGGTGACGGATTAGGAATACAAAGAGTTACCACACCCTATTCATCCCGTGGGTGTCGTAAGAGCCGACTAATGGAGCAAACTACGCAGGACAACAGCACTGCAAAGAAAAGGAAAACTTGAAATAAACTCTATACCAACCCGTCTGGCCAGCGTGGTATAGTAGGCCAAAACCTAACCTAGGCTTTTCTGTAAATAAATATGTACTTACATCGGCCTCGCGTTGTATATTGTGGCAGAGCGCGTGCTGCCAACACAAACATAGTTCACACTGCACCATTAGACCATCCTCTTCACGGAACCCACAATGACAGTTTATTATTTCTTCGCGTTTCATATGAACTATCTTAATACGTTCACCACCTGAAATATCATAAGGAATTAGCTAAGCTTAGGGACTGTTTCTTGTATGAAATTGGAATGCTGATTTCAAATGAATGAGTTGTAATAATATAATCTATATTTTGTAATTTACAAAAGATTACAGGATTTTTTATGGTATACGCAAACGACCATTTCCAACAGTTATTTTTTTTTACAACTCCCGCACTTGGAATAATATATCCTGTGCGGTGGGGGACTTTACAGACATTCATGAAAGAATAAAGAACACCCAGGATCAGAACAAAGTGGTGTCCCAAATGGGGCTCGAACCCACAACACTTAGCGCAGTAGGAAGCGATGGGTGACCGCTTAAACCCGTACGCACTCCGTGCAGTTATGTGTAATGTTCTTGTTGGAGCATTATATTACTGCCAGTAATACATTTAAGTATAGAAGATCATTATTGCAGTGAGTTGCTCGAAATAAGCGAGTCATACTTACTTTCATTGTACATGTACATATTAGAGAGCTCTTTATTCTCTTCGTTAGACTCGGACGACACAAGAGCTGCTTTAACGTCGATTTTAGAGTCAGGGGTCCCTGATCTCGGGAAACTCGACCTCGTGTCGACATCAGAGTTCATAGCAAACCAATCTTCCTCCTCGCTCATTGGTCCTCTGGGAGGTAACGCGAACGTTTTCTTCTTCTTTTCTCCCTTATGTCTCTTTTCAACACATGGTTTTGTCACCGTGTGGGTAGATATCGCCGTTTCGAAATCTAAAGTCTCAATTTCAGGGATTTCTATAACCGGTTCTATTAATTCCTTTGTGTCAAAGTCTAAATCGTCGGTTACCGGATCTGGGACTGCTACGTGTTCTGGATCCGGTCTTCTAACGGGTAACAACACTCTAGGTCTTTTGACAGGTTTGTTTATGAGCGCCTGCCGTAACTTAGGAGAATCTTGGCTTCTAGGTATTGGCATTGGAATATCATACACTTTACCCGGAGCCAAGGGAGGGCTATCAACCTGTATGTCTAGTTTCTCGTCTTTGATTTCTAGCTTTGGTTCTTCTTTCTCAACTTTAGGTTTAGGTGGTCGAGGTATTTTGACTTTAATTATCTTTTGGTCGGATTTTGAACGCGGTGTTTCAGGTTCACCTTCCATTGATCTCTTGTATGCTAAATCTAGAACTTTGGGCGTGGCACCCATCAATTTTCTAAGATCTCTATGGTAATGTTTTATATGCATTTGTAAAAGTGTATTGTTACGGAAGTTTTTAAAACATCCTTCGGCGGGACATCGGAGTAAATTTTCTATTACTTGTACTTTGAGAGATCCCACATACACTGAAAAGATGTACACCTCATCAGTTATATAATACTTTTTATCCAATAGGCGACTTATGGATTGCCAATGACATAATATCGAGGTTACAAATGAAGTCATTTTAAGTATTTTTTAATCGTAATCTTTGGGGAAAATCAGGAGATTTCAAGGTAGTTGTAGGTTCTACCTGGGACCTGGGATAAAAATCGAGAAGCAGAGCTGTGCGGTAATTTCATAATATAGCCACTTTTATAATGATTAAAGATTGCAACTGACTCAACTTTTATTTAATTTTAACAACGATATTTATATAACACTGACTGATTTCCTGGCCTAGGTACTACTTAAGCATTATTTGTTCACATACCGTATCCATCTTCCAATTTAGGAGTAGTCACTTCCATGTTACTTTCGGTGGGTAACGTGTTATTATTACTGCGACTTGACTCGGTAGACGCAACGCCATCGCCTATTTTAGTTTTCTGTAAAAGAAAGTATAATCAATTTTAAACTTAACTTACTATTAATAAATGTATATAAAGTTTTCGCTAAAGTGATTCCGGACAGAATATCAGTCACATGTAACGAAAATCAACCTGTGGAACAGGCAGGGTTCAGAAAAGACTTCAATACAATTGATCATATACATGCAATCAAACAGCTCATACAAAAGTACAATGAATATAACAAAACCATGTACTGGGCCTTTATAGATTGTTCCAAGGCTTTCGATAGCCTTAAACATGAATCTGTATGGCAAAGTCTTAAAGAGCAGGGGATTCAAAACGCTTACTTTAATATCATTAGAAATATTTACAGTGAAAGCAAAGCTAGAATCAGGCTAGAATCTACAGATGTTTTTACAATTAATAGCATCAGACAAGGTGAACCACTCTCACCAAAGCTCTTTTCAGCAGTGCTTGAACAAATGTTCAGAAAAATGGAATGGGGACATCTGGGGCTAAACATAAACGGAGCACGATTAAATCATCTAAGATTTGTAGACGACCTGGTTATTATGGAAGAGGACCCACTGACACTGCAATCCATGATACAAACCCTAGTAGACAGAAGTAGAGAAGTAGGACTAGAAACTAACACAAGCAAAACTAAAATGATGACCAACTCAATACCTATAGACATAACCATAAACGGACAGAAACTTGAATATGTAGAGGAATATGTGTATCTAGGTCAGATAATATCGATAACAGACCAAATATCCAAAGAAATAGACAAAAGAATTGCGACTGGGTGGAAAAAGTATTGGGCATTGAAAGAAATCATGAAAAGCAAAGAACTGGGCATGAAGATCAAGAAGAAGACTTTTGACACCTGTATCCTACCATGCATTACATACGGCTGTGAAACCTGGGCTTTGACGGAACGTCTTAGGGACAAATTAACAAGATGTCAGAGAAGCATGGAAAGAAGTATGCTAGGTTTAAAACTAATAGACAAAGTTACAAGCAAAGACATCAGGCGCCAAACAAAACTAACTGACATACTATCACGTATTGATCAAATCAAATGGAGATGGACTGGACATATGCTCCGCTGCAAGAAGGAAAAGTGGAGCAAACAGGTGACAGTCTGGTACCCAAGGGATGGCACTAGGAGCCGAGGTCGTAAAGCAATAAGATGGGAGGATGACCTAAAAATGACCTTAGGACCACTTTGGATGAGAGTAGCGGCAGACAGAATGCAATGGAGAGACTTGGAGGAGACCTTTGCCGTAAGGCAAACCGAACCAAGAGACATCTTATAATGAAAGTTTAGTTTTAGTTTATTAGTTTTACTTTCTTTTATAAACTCTTTTTATGTACTTTTATTTCAAATTTTTTACTAAGACATGAAAATATGTAACATTAAATTATTTCGGAAATAAAGGCTTTATTATTATTATTATACTATTAATAGATGACTTATCTAATATATATAAATATTTTCTCACAGTGCCGAAGTCCTCCGAAACGGCTTGACCGATTTTTATGTTGTTTTTTTTTGTGTATATTTGGTAGGTCTGAGTATAGGTCGTAAACTACTTTTTATACCCCTAGGTGGTAAGGGAGACCCTCCCTAGATTTTATTTTTATTGTAAATATGTCAGTTAAGGTAATAAAGTACAGTAACTGTTATTTTCATAGGCAGTTATTGTCCACAACGCTCCATTCTTCTTTCAGTCGCAGACTCTATCCCCACACATACTTACAATAAGATAGTTATACTACCAAAATATTCACTAGAAATGATTTATATGGCAAAGCAACGCTGGCCGGGTCTGATAGTAATTAATAAATGGAACACAGTGCAGTGCAACAGTGCACTGCAACATCAATTTAGCGATATTTTTGATGTGAAACATCTATTGCGGAGGGTCAGACCGGCTATTGGCATGGCGACCCGTCACCACGCTATTGTATTACAAAAGTCACTAATGAAGAAAATTAAGTTGTCTCTACTTCATTTTTGAAATAAAATTCTCACTCATTTATTCATTATTTCTGGAAAATTATTTCGATGTTTCACTTCTACCAGTTTTTTTTGCATTAGGAAATCTTTAAAAATCACTCCAAAATTCCTGAAAACTATATACGAAAGACACAACTTTAATTTAACGTCTATCAGGGATGTCTATAAAAGAATCTTAAATCATCACTTACAGAATCTCGCTGGCCCTTGATTTTAACACTGAGTTTGGACATTTTATTTTTCGCCTTTATAATTTGCTGTTTAAGACTTAATTTCCTTCGTTTGATTAGTGGGGAGGTAGTGCTGAGCGTGCCGGCTGGCAGCTGCCTGTCCGGGCCGTCCACGACACCGTCCGCGGTGTGCGATATCCAGCCCATGCGACGCGCCAGTTTCAAATGCACCCCAAAGTCTGTGAGCGCATGTGCGTACGGATCGAGATTCTTGTCCGGGTTGTTGTCTAAATAAACACGTATTTCGTTCTTGGTATGGAAACGTCGGTCATCGGGGCTGTAAAGTGTTATTTATTGTGTGTTTTATTGAACCTTTGATTAAACTAGAATAAACTCTTTTCTTAAGTCATCTACTTGCACCAGCTCGCCAGCAGGTTTGAAGGTCGTGTCGGTCCGCAAATACTGAAGACGATAACTTCTCAATTCGACCACTTGGTCGTTAGCATCGTTGAGATTACTTCTTCTCGTGGGTATTTCACACATTTAAAATAAATCATTCTAGTAGAACAGCATAAATCGAATAATATATAGATTATATCGAATAAACATCGAATCGACTGACACTTCTAGACGCATATAAACGCTACAAGTACTTCGCTAATCAGTTCCAATAAATGCTTGTAGATTCTACTATCGACCTATATATTTTCTCCTATAAGTACACTCACTAGCTTAAATCCAAGTAAATAAACATTTTAAATACTAATGTTAACAAAGTGACATACTTGACAAGCACAACATCCCACTTCCCAGCCGAATGCCCCAAACTCCTGCGCACCATATGCTTAGTCCACCCCTCTGGCAACCTCTTGTCTTCAACCTTAAAAAAAAAAATTTACTTACATACACTATACAACCATGTAGAGGTAAGGATACAAATGACGTATGTATATAACCAAAACATTGTGAAATTGATGTTGAAAACCTAATACCAAAACACTAAAACAAATGGATTTAAAAATGTCTAAATGGTCGACTATTTACGTAACTGTAAACCAATCTGATGACAGCAGTCATAATATATGGTATCACATTACGACGCTATGGAGCACTGTCAGCTCATCAGGGAAATTTTAACTTTACTTCGATTTTTTAAGATGAGCGCCACATTTATATATTCTTCATAAAATAATTTATTTGAAAAACACTTACCTGCACACTTCTCCGGGGAAGCGGTTTCTTGCCACTAGCATCCTGTTTCATCTCACACTCTATCTCGCTAACCGTACCCACAGGCTGTCCATTCACCCACTTGCAGCACCATTCACCCGGTAATAGAAAATCTTTATTCATCTCTGATTCTTTAGAAATCACTTGACTCTTTAACATCTGTTTTCTCATTGCCTCCACTTGTTTTCGCATTTCCTCTAACTCCGACTTCACTTTCTCCACTTGTTTCTTTACCTTCTTCTCTCGCAATAATCTTAACTTCTTACCTTTCTTTATTTTAGATAATTTCTTTTTGTCCTTTAAAACTTCTGAAGTTGTTCCAGTAGCTTTCTCTGCCGGTAAAGGAGCCACATTTTCGATTTGAGGTTCGGACAAATTGAGTTTAGGGATTTCAAGTGTGATTTCGGGTTTCGGAGAACTGGTTTGTTCAATTTTCAAACCATCTTCCAATTTGTTGATGGCTTCTTTAATTCTGTCTATTACTTCCTCGTGTTTCCCTTCATCGGGTTTTTCGAATTTCTCAAGTTTAACTTCTTCCTCTAACACCTATTTAAACAAAAAGCTCTATTTGAAATATTTTTTTAAAATTTACATATTTATTAAAAAACCTAAACGCAAAAAGTGCCACTTACCTGTTGGCTACCGGTAGGCTGCTTTTAAATAAACAGATTTTTTATTTAATCATTTATAATCAAAATATTAAGGAACGAAAGCAAGCGGATAAAATGGTAAACTTCTAATACAGAATCATAAAGATGTAGTGATGATGTCAGTCTGGTCTGATGGTCTAGTGGTTAGTAGCTGCTAAGCCCGAGGTCGCGGGTTCGATCATTTAGTCTGTGTCTGGGTGTAATGTATTTAGAAATATTTGAGTATGTTTATCAGTAGTCTAGGCTCTGCCTACTTTGTAATCAGACTGAGCTATATTGCATGTGTCAAGTTATTATATTATACTTTAATATTCTTATAATTCTAACTTACCTCAGGGTCTAAATAAGGCTTAAGGTCTTCTAGTTCAATTTTGTCACTTTCATCGATATCTACACTGGCTGGTACTACAATATCTTTGCTACTATGCACTGCTTCAGATTGTATCTCATCCGTTAATTCGTTATTTTCCTCTAAAGGCTTTTCTTGTACGGATTCTTCAGAAGAGCTTGGTTTTTCTTCCTTGACTTCAGGTAGAGTTTCTTGGTTAAGAGTTCCAATTATTGAGGCCACGGCATCCACAGCTAGTATTAAATTTTTAAACTTATTATTACGTTACTACTACAGGAAAATAATTAACAGAAAATAATTAGGTTGATAAAAATCAATCAGACCCTATCTTATAAGCAGCATTTATGTGTGAGTTGCAAAGATAGTGCACAGAAAAGTAGCATATGTGGCTTTACTGCAAATTAATCTGGACAACTGGCAAAGCTAGCAAAAACTTTTTGCTAAATCGTTTGAAAAAATTGCCTCATAGTTAACAAAAAAATATTGGTACTAGCAGTCTCCATGTTTACTCTAGCCACTTGCCTATATATATATATATCTATTTATGTATTGTGTACGTGCATAAATAATTAAATTTACTGTTTTTAACCCCGACTCAAAAAAGAGGGTTTTATAATTTGATGTGTCCGAGTGTCTGTCGGTGGCATCGTAGCTCCTAAACGAATGGACCAATTATGATGCTGTTTTTCTTATGTAGTAATAACTATTTAAGCAATGTACTCACCAGCATTCTCAGTTTTTACCTCTGGCTGGACCTCTATTTCCTTTTTTAATTTCAAAGCTTTCCTTCTAATTATTCTTGGCTTTCTCACGACCGGAGTTCTCTGCGGCTTTTCTTTGTCAATCTTATGCGTTTTTTGCTTTTTCTGACCTATATTGAATATTTCCTTTATGTTAAGTTTGCGTTTCATTTCGCGACGTTCACTTTTAGACCCTAAATAGTCTCGGGTAGGATCAAATAAATGTGTATGATAAGCAGGATATGTGTTCGTTTGAGGGGTCACGTTCGTGGGGCCCGCCGCGTATTGCGGGGAAGGAGTAGCGGGAGAATTGGGAGCGCCGCTTGAAACTCCTTCTTTACCCGGCCTTAGTTTATATAACCGTGAGACTTTACATGTCCAGTGGCATCCGTCATCGAACACAATCTCGTAACTACCTGTTAAAAAAAATAAAAACAAAATTGAGTCTGTTGACTTAGCCTGTGTATACCTACAATATATGCGTTTTCATATTTTATATGAAACGCAATGTTTAATAAGTGCTACGACACGTGTTATACGGGTTATTTTTAGCTCTCATCGGTTTGTTAAATTTTAGTTTATATATTTAATACAAAAACTAAGTAACTAAATGTTTCATTTGTGAACTCTGTGGTGACGGATTAAGAATAGGGACGGATTACCACCCCCCTTCAATCATCCCGTGGGTTTCGTAAGAGCCGACTAAGGGAGCAAACTACGCAGGACAACACCGTATTTAGTATTATTATCACTTATTGTATATGTTTTTTTTTTAATATTCTAATGTAGTTAATATGATATCCTATATGTGCTATATTTTTTCTTAAAATCACATTTTTAAATTATTTTGTGCATCTACCATGTTTTGGCTCTGCATCGCCCTATGGTTGACTGGGAGAAAATGCCTACGGCATTAAGTCCGCCTTTATCACATTTGTGCATAAAGTGTAAAAAAAAAAAAAAAACACCACTGCAAAGAGAAGGAAAACTTGAAACAAACTCTATACCAACCCGTCTGGTCAACGTGGCCTATGTCCAGCAAAAGATTTAGTAAAGGCTCTTTATGAGTAAGTACACCACCCGATGGCAGGTAATAGTGAAAACCAAGGGTTTATGCTATTGCCGCGAATCTAGACAATCCTAAAATAACGTAGCCAAAATCAATGATGATTTGCATTAGTATTATTTAAGTTTTTAAATTGAATGATAATTTGAATTAGTATTAATTTAGTGTTAACTTGAAGACATAAATCAAAGCCCGCTATGGTAACCAGCTATACACATAGAGCTAGGCGCAAAGTGCAAACACCAATCTGTATTATAAGAATACATATATTTTTCGTGATAAATACTTAATCAGACTGTCTTAAATATAAATAAAACTTTATAGTCAGATAGGTCTAGATATTCAAGATAATTAAAAAAAAACTGTTTAACTTAATTATTTTATTAATTTATCATTAGTAGTAAACAATCGGGAACTTACCATTATCCAACACATTAATTATGGTAGCAACAAAACGTCGATTATCGCGCCACCGAGCAAGGCAACGTTCCCCAACAACAAAAGTCGGTTTAACTTTCTCTTCCACTTTAGGTTCTGAGTCCTCTTTATTAGTGAGAGCATCTGGTATTGTTTCCGAAGATGCGCTTTCTGCAGAACTAGGCCCAGGCTTCACCGGGGAAGAGCCTAGTGGCCTCAAACGTGGACTGCTTACGCTTATCCATTCGTCGTGTCTAATAAAATAAGGCATTTCATCAAAAACTGATGTTTATTAACAGAATAATCTAAGAGAAGCCATTAAATTTGTGGGTCACAATATTTATGTAGCTCAAGATAAGATTCTTGATTTGATATGAGGAGACTGAGTCAGTTCAATGAAAACAAAAATACCTGGTAATGTTGGATTAGGCACGTATTTAAATAATTTTAACATCTTAATAACAATATTACCTGAGCGGACGACGAGTTGATTTATAGCGAGTATTATAAGAGAAAGACATTAACGATTAAATTGTATTAAAATTATTATAGAGCACAATAACTGATTATGAAACCGCCTAATCAATAATGTCATACAATTCTTTTTAATATTTACTTGGCTATTTTGTGTCCAGTAATGACATTTTGAAATAAGACCTTTGCAATTGAAATGGAGCGAAATGGCGGCCTTATGTACAGCTGCTGAATGACAAATGAGAATTCCATTTTTAAATTTCGTATTTGCTCTCTATAGCTCTTAATAATGTTGCTGAATTGTAGGTGTACATGCCTGCTAAATTGTGTATACGCAGTCAATTTACATGAATTCATCAAATTCGTAGTAAACAAAAAGGTGTCGGACTTGCGATCTACTGGTTGGTTACGCGTTCAATCCCCATTCAGTACACTACCGACGACAGCCCATTTCTTTTACAACTGGAGTGGTAAAAATAGTACATACTAGTAGCATGTTATACTCATTGTAGTTAGTTGAACCGGCGTTGTTAATATTATTTTAAAAGAAGTAAAAGTAAAAAAGGAAGCTGCCAAAAAAAAATTGAACTTTTCTTTTATTCTAAAACTACTTTTTAGAATCCGCGAGTTGATATTTTATTTTTTTAATTGTTAAATTGTTTTTTTTATTTATTTATCTATTGATATAAAACCTAAAATAAATGTAATAAATAAATGAAGAAAAGTTATTAATTTATATTCCCTTGATAAATACAGGATTTTATATTCATGAGTCACGTGATTGGAAACATCACTCGTGTTACCAACCAATGTGTCGTAATCATGCACGATTTTGACAGCAGATTAACCAATCAGATGTCTTGTTTGTCTTGTTATCTTATATTTTTGTAAACACAGCGAAATAATCATTTCATATAGAAAAGTGTTATGAAAATATTGTAAGTGTGGAAATAGTGACCTTAAAAAAATGGAGAGAGTTTGTAAAAGATGACAGTACGAAATTGACAAAATAAGGCAAACTATTAATCCGTAAAATTAGGATTTCTATTCTTCTGAATAGAGAAATGTTGAAATTTCTATGTGAGTACAGTGCTAATTTTATCCTTATATTATTAATGTGAAAGTGAGTTTGTTTGTTACGCTTTCACGCCTAAACACCTAAACCGATTTTAAAAATTCTTTCACCAAGTGTCTATGTTTCAACAGCAACAGTGAGTGACATAGGCTACTTTTCTGCGTGATAACCAACATAGACGCGGGCAAAAGCTGGTACAATTTATATGTAAAGTACATACTCTGCCCAGCCCCAGGTATTATTTTAAACACATAAGCATTAAAAAATATTTTTGGAAAGTTTTTAATGTAATGTGTGTTTAAAGAATATTACCCAGGAGTCTTTTTTTTAAATTATAAGTGATTATCATTATAATTATCAGGCAAGTCATAGATTTAAACATCTCTCAGAGACATTAATAAACATTTTAGCCTTTTTTTCTTCTTCACAAAGTAATTGGAAATTGGAAATCTACACAACCTATGCATTGTATGTGTATGGTGACGGATTAAGAATGTCATCCCGTAACTATACAGGACAACAACACTGCAAAGAGAAGGGAAACTTGAAACAATCCCTATACCACCCCATCTGGCCAGTGTGGTTGTATACCAAAACCTCCTTTCTATGTCTCCATGAGTCTCCAACTTTTAATAGTCTCTCAGCCTATGTCCAGTAGTAGACTATTAAAAGTTGGAGACTTTTTTGGTTGATTGATTGAAAGTAAACTATTATTTTCCTAATATTTTGCATTTCAGTAAACCATTTCCATTTGAGACCTTGACATGTCTTAACAATCCGTTTATTCTATTACATTTGACTTACCATACTGCTCAACAAAAAACTTGAAAAGATTTAACTAGCTTAATGTAAGACACTGCACTTTGCTGAAATTAAAACTAACCAAATAGAAACCTTTCTCCATAATATCACCAGCCTCTAAAGGGTTTGGCGTGTTATCTACTTTACAGACCTTCTAACAAGAAGTCAATTTATTTCGGTGCGCACCAACATACATTTTATATTATACTTTTTACTATAACCAATATTACTTTTTTAAGATGCACTGCTTAATATGATAGTAAAAAGTATTACTATGCTATGGCATAAAAAAAAAACAATGCCTACTTTTTTGCTTTAGTTTCATAATGCACCAGTACTTCCATTTCATCATAGTCAACCTCTAAAATTTCTGCATAATGCCAGTCGTCACTAAAGTCCTTAGCCTCTACTTTAGAACCAACAGATAGAGCTACACTGCTGTTACCTGCAACATTTGACTAATTTATTATAAAATATTAAAAATACAAAAGAGGTTTCGACTTTGTTATAAAATCAATTGGAATGCCAAAGCTTATGTTGTTAAAATGTCATAAGGATATGTAACAAGCTACTTAGAATAATATACTGATTGTAAGTCCATCTCAAATGGTTGCTCTCAAACTAGGGCATTTTCTAGTAGTTAAGTTTAAAGCCTAGTATTGGTGGCAAACCTTATTGGCAATAGCAGCAACTCTCAAGGACATATTGAGATGGTAAATGTATGTTTTCATACATTAACACACATCAACAAGAACACTTTTATTCAAGTTGTTCTAATGTTAACATACATTTTAATCTGAACTATTGTTGAAGCGTGGACAACTACAATCTCAATAGTCTTATCTAAGCAACTTATAATTCTAGACTAAACTAATAATTGAGTTTGAGATTGAATTGAAGAGTTGAGAAAATAATTATTATATTTGATGCCATTTGTGTATGTATTATATGTATGCATGTATTACACTCAATAAACTTAGTATACCTTTATCCTCTGGACTCATAATCTTACTCTTTACATCTTTCTTCTTAGCTATCTCCAGCTCTGATTCATTTATGATCATATCTATGACACTGCTGGCCACAGATATGGTCTCACTATGACTTAACTTACTATCCATACTATCGTCATTTGTTTTTTCAATATTTGGAGTGTTCCTTGCACTCTTCAATTCTTTTATCTCTTTCTCCTGTTCTTCAATAAACCTTTTAATTGCATCAACACTCTCAATTTCCTCTTTGTAAGTGCTTGATGCAGCTCCCTCATCATTCATTGGTTCTGGTGTTGATTTTACAGACTCCATCTCGTTTTCAATGTTTGCTATAATCCACGGAAATATTGATGGTACAGCATCTGTAATTCAATAATGTTTCATTGTTCCTAGTCAAATGGTTGTACAGCATATCATGCAATCAGTATACTAAAGAATCTACTGCAAGTGCACTAGATCTGGAAGATAAAATCAATAAATACTATTAGGCAACATTTAAGGCAATGACAAAATAACAGCAACATGAGTGATAGAAATAATAGTTTGAAAGTCAATTTAGTTGTATAGAGCATTCCATTGTAGCAGTACATTGATATATAATAAATACATGAAGTAAATTATACACAAATTCATTGATAAATATTATTTATAGTGAGAAACATACTACTTGATATTCTTGTTATGAAATCTCATTGATTAGTCAAATGTTTGTGTCACAATTTACGGTAGTCATATCTTTTTTATTTTACATCAATGGTGCAGAACTAATGACTATAACATAATAGATTAATAGAGATAAAAATAACAGAAATCTAGCTGCTAGAGTGCTCTTAGTTTTAGCTACTAAAAACTACGATTAAACCAAATAATACAGTTACCTAAAATAAAAAAGATAAACATAAAACCTTAAAATTACAAAAATAACTCATCAAGCATTAGGGACATTCTACTTAGTACCTGATTTTAATATGTATTTAGAGTCCTTGTATATTTGAAAATCAGTTTTACAAAAATGCCTTGAGCACACATACATAGGCAGGTCTGGGTCATAGAGTGTGTTATGTGCTACAGACATCCAAGTGTCACGTAATGTAACATCTTTAGGAAACTTGTGATATGTTACACCTTTGTCCTCCTTTCTTGTAGAACGTGAATTACAGTTGTCAATACAACATTTTTTTACAGCCATCCTAATGTTAATATATTTCAATGTATTAACTATATAAAGAATGTGTGCATGAGATGGGACTCGTGAAAAATTTATTTATCTATATTTATATATCATTACATGAAAAATGCGACCAGTAATCATATATCTTTAGGTAATTAAAAATAAGGTCATATAAATATGTGTATAACTTGTGCTTTAACCATTTAATGATATTTCAATTCTTGATCCTATACAATGTAATTATGGTAGGCCTGCCTTACATCCCAGAATACCATATCCGGGTTTGAAGTGTTGTGTCCCAGTGTACCTGTCAATAAGCCCTTTATCCTGGTTTGGTAGCTAGATGTACACGCCCAAGTCTATATTGTGCAGGAGATATTGGGACGAGACTCTGTCTTTGTGTTCGCAGAGCCACTTTTCAAAATATAGATGGACAAAGACCAATCATATTTTTCTGAAGTTCTATAACTTTATTCTTTTTTCAAATAAGAATGTTTTATTGTTGTTTTTTACATTTTATTGAGTTTTACTACACAGTTTTAGCCATGGGACAGGATATGGGTCAGATTGACCGGAGTGATACCAATCACAGAAAACCAGTATTAAAAAGATACTTTTGTTGCTTTTCACAGAGTAAGTGTAGTTACTGGAGTCCAAACAGCCCCTGGAGCCAGGGAGAGGTACTAAAAGGGAAGCAATACTCAAAACCACCGAACCAAACAACTGTTTGGTTGAATACAGTGATTTATTCTTGGGTTTCAGGAGTCCATGGGCGGCGGAAGTTACCTAACATCAGAGCCTAGTCTGCTCGTTTGTCCCCTTGTACCAAAAAAAAAGTATAAAAATTAAAAGTAACTAACCTAACCTTATAAGTATCAATTGTGTCTGATTAATTTATTTTAGTAATTAATGTTTTATATTCATCAAGCTTTTGAATTTGTTCCTGGTTTACCCTTTCCTGTTTCTAAATGTTCCGGTCGGTGATTCAGCAGTTATGGCAGCCCTAAATTATGAGGTTCAATAGAATATAGCCAGCAGCAGCACATTTTAATGACAACTTAGAATACTTGATGTAATAGTAGCCGTCGGTATACGGCTTGTATCACATTAGGTATCCAACAATAACTGATCCTGTGTACACTACTCCTAGCTAGATGTTTTACGAAAACATTTTATTGATTAGATTATGAAATTGACAAACACATTACTGTTTTGACAAGATTTGTCAGCATTTTGACAAATATCAAATTGTGTAGAATTGTTGCAGCACGTTATTGTTAGTATTTTGTAAAGCATTTGTTGATTACTCACTTCTAAAATAGCAATAATACACATTAGCTTTGTGTTGTTTACATCTAATAATACGAAAATATACCAACCTGATACTCATGAAACTATTAAATCGTTCTATTATTTAGTACATATATCTATCTAAATTAGAATACATATTAAATCTCAATAATAAGCAACGATATACAGTATTTATAACAGATACAGCATTATATTATGAAATCAAGTGGCATAAAATGTCAATTGTCTAATTGAAGTACAAGAACATTTTATAGAACAGATAATAATTGATATAAAAAAATACACTCTGTGGTAAGTACTTCTAGTGTTGCCGCCGCAGCCCTACTTTAAGAAAATTCGTAGATGGGTATAGAAAATGGAAGAAATTGATACAGATAATTATCCTACAAAATCAAAATGTTTATAGAAATTTAAGAAAAGAACACAAAACGCACGCAAATTAAAACGCCTTTCTTAGTGATCTATGTCTACTTACGTTTCGCTTACCAACTATTTGGATGAAACCATAGATATAGTATACTATCGTAAATTACAATTCTAAAATATATTAAGTCTACGGCGAAAACACTACGAATGCAATCATTAATCCAAATTTAATTAATCTCACTAAAATGATACCATTAAGCAAACGTCACTCTTTGATTTTAATTTTAGTGCATGATATTTAACTCCTAATTACCCGAATCGTTTTATAAGTTATAATACTTTGGGTTCGCTTCTATTGATTCGCTCAGTCAATCGGAGCAAGTAATCATGAATATAGAAATTTCTAGTTTCTAATTTAATATTAGTAGCAAGTGACTTTTGTTTATTGAAATATTTCTCTATGTAACAACGTGCGTTTCCTTTTGATGCCGTCAAAATAGGAAGAGCTTCTTGGAATTATAGTGTTTTATCTATGAAGACCATTATCGACAGACAAATTTTTACAATAAAACTCTTTAGGCATGGCACGTCTAAAGAGTTCTATTGTAAAAATTTGTGCTTTTAAATCGGTAACAATCTAAAATTATTTTACTCAGCATAAAGACGGCTTTAGCTATATAAATATAATTGTTTATCTATCTTTAGAAATCTTGAAAAGTTTCAGACGTATATGACGTATGCATTCAACAATAATAAATCATGCAATAAATGGCCATGCTTGACTGACCTGTTGGTCTAGTGTTTAGTGGGTTCCATTCCCACCCAGGAAATATAATCGTGTGATGAGCACAATCATTTTTTCTACTTCTGAGGGTAATTTAATTATATTATGTTTGTATTTAGAAATTATTAAGTACATTTATAAGCATTCTAGTTACCACAATACAGGGTCTACCTAGTCTGGGATTAGACGGCCGTGTGTGAGATATGTGAGGTCATTATTATGACATATTATTTTTATTAAAATATTTTTATTATAATATACTAATAAATTGGGTACCAAACCCATTGATTTTCTTTTGCTTGGGTTTTTCTCTTTTTTTTTTCTTTCTTTCAGGGTGGATTAAATCTTTGACGTGGATTTAAATTTTAGTATTTGTTTTTCTAGAAAATTTTATCCGCAATCTTATATATCCATAATATATCTTGCCATTTGTTGTGTTTGTTTTGTTATTAATTTGCCCTTCTTCATGTTTAAAATTTCTAGATTAGGATATTTGTTAGTGTGCGAGCAAGACTACATTCACCTGCGTATTTAAAAGTGCGATTCTCTTATATGTATCATTTCAAAATACATTTTTTTTTAGTTTAGCGTCTATAGTCCATCAACGTCGTGCGCGACCGTCCTGCGGGGTGATACGGTGGCGGGGACGAGGTACTCAAGATGTCAGCGGGTAGCGGGTGGTGTAGCGGGGAAGGGAAACGCTTCTCTTCGTATGTAGCCATGTGCTAGAATGACGCACTACCTCGCCCCCGCCACTGTCTGTTACCCCGCGGGACGGTCGCGCACGAGATTGCCGGGTTATAGTATCCATGTACAGCTTGTTTCATTTTCATTCCATGCCAATAATTAAAGTAAGACAGATCAATTTAGTATTAGAAGCCTAAAAAATAATACGACCAAAGGTACATTGAGAACACCTGACTGACCCGACCAGTAGGCACCTCTGACCAAAGCATATCCTGTGAGGAATGGAACGCTGAAAATATTCTTCTGGGGAGCATGAGGGTGGCCATGAAAGGTCTCTCAAATCTAAAATACTTGCGATCACGAAAATAATCTTAAGCAGATAGATAGGTAGTAAAAAAAGAAGTAACCAGGAACGCAACAGACGCTTAGTTGAGTAAAACTACCCGTGAAGAGCATACCATTAAAAACAAAGACAATCAGGCATCAATAAATTATGCATTCCAAACCAATCGTACACAAGTACCTACGTACTTTATTCCAATATCCTTCGTCTTATTTTCTACATAGTATTAAAAAAAATATATATATACCTATACCTTTTCTTGTCTGTGGTTCCTACTCGTATCTTCCTACATTCTCGTAGGCAGCTACCACGTAATAAATAGGTGAAAAATCGATATCAGAACAACATCCCTAGCACCTCGTAGTGGGTAAAAATAGGTAAAAATCGATAACAGGACAACATTCCGAATACCTAAATATATTTTTTTACAACTCAACTTGAATAGCATACAATAATATTAATCCAGAAATATATAAAGTACTCTTAGAGTGACAAGAACAAAACTAATACATTGTTTCCATATAGGGATTTTTTTACAGAAATTGGTAAATGTTTAGAAAGTATGATTTACTCACTGACGTTTGACCTTTATTTTGACGTAATGCTATCTATCAACAAAACTATGTACACGAACTAGCTGAAGTGTAAATCTATTTACAAAGGAAAGTCATGTAAATAGCAACAAACATACTATTTTTGTTGTTCCGAAAATGGATTTAGCAAAATCTCTCTTTAGTTCACGCGATCATATGGGTTACGTGGGACGTGAGGACCACGAACGTAAAATTAGTGCAGCTTTAGCAGATGACGACCCAGAAGATGTGATTGATGCTATACGAGGACTAAACATTGCTGATGAACTGCTTCCCGCACCAGGTGGACCATTCTCGGCACTTACACCAAGTATGGTCCCTCAAGATATTATGGCTAAATTGGCGCAACCCGAATCTGAAGGTCACGGCGGTGGACTGCCTGACTACAGATTTGACGAATTTGGATTTTGTGTGGAAGAAGAAGACGAACCCGAACAAAGTCCAAATAACACACTAACAGATGCTTCAGTTGAAGATGATCAACACCGTCTTCAGTGGGAATTTTATAGCAAAGAAATAAATTTTTCCGAAGGTAAGCTGGAAAAAACTGATAAATTACAGAAAATGGTGAAAGATGGTGTTCCTCACTCACTGCGTCCTCAGGTGTGGATGCATCTGTGTGGTGCAAATAAGAAAAGAGCATCTACTGAAATTACGTATCATGAAATTGTGAGAGCTTCTAGTGATGATGGACTGGTAACAAGTAAACAAATTGAGAAAGATTTGGTCCAAATATTGCCTAACAATGTATGTTTTTCACACCCGACTAGCACAGGTGTGCCAAGACTGCGTAGAATATTGAGAGCACTTGCATGGTTGTACCCTGATATAGGTTACTGTCAGGGTACTGGCATGATAGCAGCATCATTGTTGCTTCTAATGGAAGAAGAAGATGCATTTTGGATTATGTGCACAACGGTTGAAGATCTTTTGCCTGCTTCATATTACTCTTCAACTCTGATAGGAATTCAAGCAGATCAAAAAGTGTTGAGAAGTCTCATTTCTAGCTATCTACCTGGAATAGATCAAGTCCTTAATGCACATGACATTGAGCTCTCTTTGATTACAATGCATTGGTTTCTGACTTTGTATGCTAATGTAGTGCACATTAATATATTACTGAGAATATGGGATCTCTTTTTCTTAGATGGCTCATTAGTGCTATTTAAAGTTACGTTGGCCATGTTAAAAATGAAAGAGAATAGATTTACTGAGATTTCAAATTCAGCTCAGATTTTTAATGCTCTCTCTGACATTCCTGGTGAAATTGATGATGTTGATGTTCTTGTAAAAACTATAGATGAAGTCTGTGGAGATACTTTAAGTCCAACACTGATTGAGACTCATAGAAGACGACACCTCGCATATCTAATGGCAGACCAAGGTGCACTAGTTGGTAACCCCAGTGCTGTACCCAATCTCCCTAAGCAACAACTTCAAAGGCGGCAAATAAAGAAGAGTAAATCAGTTATACAAACAATACTTTTTGGAGAAGATAGCAACAATGAAGATGCTGTTTCTAAGAATGTCAAACAAACTGAAATTTTAGTCGATCTCAGAGAAGCAATTCTACAAGTTGCACGTCATTTTTTGGCCCTTGAACCACAACTAGCATCTGAGGTACAGTTGACAGCAGACTACACAATGCAAAGCCATGCTGCAGATCGAGAAAGATATGTTAATGTATCTCGTAGTAAGAGACGTAGGGCTAAAGCATTATTGGACTTTGAGAGAAGAGATGGGGATGAATTGGGTTTTAGAAAAAATGATGTAATTGAAGTTATAAGTTCCAGGGATGAACATTGCTGGATTGGAGAGTTAAATGGACTGAGAGGTTGGTTTCCAGCTAGATTCGTAAAACTTCTAGATGAAAAAGGTGTCAAGTATAGCAGAGCTGGAGATGACTCTGTGACAGAGAAGGCTGCACATTTGGTCAGAGGGGTGTTAGCTCCTGCTTTCAAAAGGGTCCTTCTACATGGAATAAAGCGTCCTAGTTTTTTGGATGGACCTTGCCATCCCTGGCTTTTCATTGAAGAAGCCTCTTCGAGAGAGGTAGAAAAAGATTTTAATTCAGTATATAGTCGCCTGGTACTTTGTAAGACATATCGTTTAGATGAAGATGGAAAAGTATTGACTCCTGAAGAGCTGCTGTATAGATGTGTCCAAGCCATTAATTTATCACATGATAATGCCCATGCACAAATGGATGTAAAACTGCGAACATTGATATGTATGGGACTCAATGAAGAAGCTTTACATTTATGGCTGGAAGTATTATGTTCATGTGTTGATGTCGTTCAGAAGTGGTTCCATCCATGGTCATTTATAAACTCTCCAGGGTGGGTACAGATAAAATGTGAATTGAGGATATTGTCTCAATTTGGATTCAATCTTAACCCTGACTGGGAATTGCCATTGAAGAAAGATACACAGAATCAACCATTGAAGGAAGGGGTCCGAGATATGCTTGTAAAGCATCATTTGTTTTCATGGGATCTGTAATTCTATTTTCGATTAGTTTGTGGCTTAAATATTTATACATAAGTTAATATATAATTGTAGTTATAAATATAAATATTCTATTTTGAAATGATGTACCTGTACCTGTGCACGCTACTTAAATCGGTCAATAAATATAGTTTTTGTCTTTCTAGTACTTACTAAATAATTAATATACATATGTATGCAAATTTTCGTTTTATTGGTATTAAGATATAAGAACAGGACTACCTGCTCTACATAGTGACACAATTAACTATGCAAACCCTAAAATCAAGACAATGTTGGGTAGGTAAGTAAACCTCTACCTATAATTCCTTTTTCTTTTCAAGTTGGTTTAAAAAAAATGACTAATAATGTATAAGCATAATATCTTTTGATAACCAAGGGACTATCTGTTAATCAATCAATGATAAAAAATACATTAAGTATACTGTATCTTATATAGTAATGTTATGCATGTTTAAACATGTATGCTCGTAATGGTCTTGAAATGCCGCGCGAGCATTTTTGAAGAAAATGCTCTAGACCGTGAGGGGGTTATTTTATCTGAGATGACCCTAACAATTTAAAAAATAAATTAAAATTTAATGTACGTGTCAAAAGGTATCATTTCGTAAGTATCAAAAGTTTTAATTGGTACCGATTTTTGTTTACCCATTTCGAACCATTAAAATTCATGCCAATAATCTTAACAGGGATAGGCGTTCCATACAAACTTTTATTCCCTTTTTTACCACCTTCAAGGTTTATTTTTGCTACAAAAAGTAGTCCTTTACCTAAACCTAATCTAAGACCAAGATCTTGTTTATGTCTATACAAAAGTTTGTTTGAATTGTTTTATATCATATGTTTTGTATTGTTTAGGGGTTTTTAACGGTATTTGTATTGTATTTATTGAAAGATATTATCGTTTAGATTACCCGTTCATGTTTTTATGATTGCAGTCCCCCTTAGGTCCTCCGTGCTTCCGTCCACCTTAACTCAAACTGTTAGGTAGTATCCGGCAGAAGCAATTTTACATGGCAAAAAGTCTTTTAAACTGTGTTCTTATTATTTGATATTTTATTTTTTAAGTTATTTAATTAATTGAAGCGTAGACGTACGCACGCGAAGCTTTCTATTTTACCACACTCAGTGTCAGCCTATTATGCCTGGTCCATTCGCGGGCCTGGCGGGTGGTCGGTAGAATTAAAATGAAAAATTTGCATTTATTTTCGTACACCGATCAATAAATTTTAATATAATGACATATTAAAATAACTTTGAGGATGTTTCATTTTCGTGTGCCGTTGTTGCCGTGTGCGGTTCAAGCTTTGCACGGTGTTCTGGATAGCTTTATAGAAGGAAAGGCAGACAGACGCACAACGAAGTTATTCTACAAGAGTTCCTTTTTCTTAAAAAGGGAATAGGACAATAAATTATCTAAAGCCCATATTTAAATTTTGTCGTTTAATTGTTAAATATTTATTAATTTAGGCTCAGGTAACCTTAATTACTCAGTGAAACGAAATAGTTAACATAAGAGTATATTTTGTATAAGGCTATGGTATCACTCCAGCCGAGATAGCCGTAGCAAATCGTCGTAGCATGGCTCTCTCACGACTATTTTTCACATCACACATACTAACTATACTTATCAACATGTAATTTAAAATCAGCTATTGATAAGCGATATCTAGATTTGATACAATACTTCACACAAAAGATATGAAAACATAAAATACACTCAATAAATTTTTACTTTTCTGTACAGGAAGACCAAAGGTTTTCCTCTATTCTGGATACAAAGCAAATATTGGCTATATTTTATAACATTCTAACCATATTTTAAGATAAACAAATAATGAAATATAACGGGTAACAAATAGTGGTAGTAAATAAGCCGTAGTTGATACGAATTTCGAGATGATACGGTACTCACTTTTATTTATCGATTTTAAAAAACTATTATCCTTGTTTTTGTGTAAAAAAATGTGTAACAACGCGTCGTTTAGTAACTTTATGTATTTTTTATGATTATCGCCTAAACCTCACAAAATCGAGATTTGTATTGCTTAAACAAAAACATTAATGTATTTTTCCTACTTTAAATAATGCTTATTTTAATTATATTGATATCAGTGCCGTCTACTGAATTAAGAAAAGTTTAAAATAGAAGTAGGTGTCATTGTTAAATAAAACCCTAATATAGTTTTACTAAACACTAACAAGATCAAAATTCCTTGTGTTCAAACATGTGTTCAATGCCTTTGACGGCATATAGATATTATCTATAGTTTCATTGACAGATGGACAGCAATTGACAGTTCTCTGCCTTTTATTTCTCTCTTCATTTCGAGAAGTCAAACGTGCTTGTTCTCTGTGAGCTAAGGCCTGTTGGCAACTTGCACGTATCATAATTAAAAATGGCATCTAAAGCAGAATTATCTTGTGTTTACGCCGCTCTCATCCTTGTTGATGACGATGTTGCCGTAACTGTAAGTATTCACTCAGTATTTGCACATATTTACGCTAAACATTTTAGGTTATGTTTCTCTGCGTCTTGAGTTGTATCTTCTTTTATCTAAGGAATCCCTTTGTAAACATGTATTAGCAGCATTGAAAATATTCCTTTATCCTTCATAACGATCAGTTTTGTGGTTATTTACGTTATAAACATGCCTCCCCACTTAAACGTTCTTTATTGCATGGACCTTGTTAGCACTTTCAAACTTTAGTAGTACAATGGATAACAATCATAATTACTCTTACTAGGGTGAGAAGATCTCTACCATCTTGAAGGCGGCTAGCGTAGACGTCGAACCTTACTGGCCAGGTCTTTTCGCTAAGGCCTTAGAGGGAGTCAATGTCCGTGAATTAATCACAAACATCGGATCTGGTGTGGGAGCTGCACCAGCTGTTGGTGTCGCACCTGCTGCCGCCGCCGCTGCACCCGCTGCTGAGGCCAAGGAAGAGAAGAAGAAGGAGGAAGAACCTGAAGAGTCCGACGATGACATGGGCTTCGGTAAGTTTAGTTTAAGTATTAATATAACTTAAAAAATCCTTTAAGCCATTTAATTATTACAGAAATATGTTTAAAGAGTCTTAATAAAGTTATACTTAGTTTTGAATGAAACAATGATGTCTAGCATGTATTAGCTTCTGAATCTTATGATAGAAAATTATTTATTTACTGAGAATATGTTGCAGAAAACTTTTTTTGAAAGTCATGAACATTTATTTAATGATTTTTTTTTTGTTTCAGGTCTCTTTGACTAAAAAGCTTTATTTAAAAGCAGTGGAATTCCAATGTAAGCTTTATGAAGCTTATTTAGTTGTAAGGATTAAATAAACTTTATAATAAAGTTTATAAGATATTTGTATTTTTTTAATATTTAATCTCCTTCTAAACCAAACTTATAGATCTCATACTCTTGCGCAGTTAGCAGAATACTTGTGTAAAAAATATATAGTTATGAAAGAGTGTAAGTCAATAATAATAATGACTGGCCTGACGGTTAGTGTCCCTGACTGCTAAGCCAGAGGTTGTGGATTCTATTCCCACCTAGGACAAATAATTGTGTGACTATTAACTGTTCTGTGTGTGATTTGTCTATAATATATGTATTCAGAAAAATACAAGTATGTTTGCCAGCAGTTTGGTGACCATTTGACCGGTTCTGCCTACTTTAGATAGGCTGTATTCTATGTGTGATGTATGAAGTTATAATGGTCTATAAGATAGTGAAATGACTACTCCACTAAAAATAGAACAAAATTTTTATGGCAATTATTTTGTTTTTCTAAAAAAGTTGAGGCATTTCCTGTCTGAGCTTAAACAAACTTCATAGCTCATTTTGCGTAAGAGAAATCCATAAACAATTGAGTGTATTATGTTGATCCATTAGGTTTAATTTATTAACTAGGATCTACTACCAAATATATCACAATTAAAGAACAATAATTGTTTAAAGGGGTATTAAGTCAGTGTACTCCTTCACTTATAGGATTCTACAGCAGGTACAGTGAAAAAAAAAATACCGTCAACCAAGCAAACAAAGCTACGAGCAATTAAAAAAAATGTAGGCTTAAAAAGTAGCAAAATAGAATATTTTTTTAACAAATTACATAAACTTATTTAAAAAATATAATAAATACAAAATTAAACAAAAAAATATTTTCATGCACTGTTAGTTATTCAAACATGCATATTGGTTTGCCGTCTGCCTTTTTGGAGATGAGCACAGATTTCCTCGATTGAATTCTATTAAAATGTTGTGAAGCTACGAAACAAAGTAGTTTAGGTTTAAACAAAATTCAGTTAACTGAATACTTTGCAGTTAAATTTTATTGCGATAGTTAGTATTCCAGAATGTTTGTGTCCGTTGATCTGTCCTATCACGAGTATGGTACCTTTGCAATCAAGAACAGATAGAACCAGCTGAGCATGTATGAAAAACAGAAGCAGTTAGACCCCGTCCGCATAGCAAATTTTTAGGACTATCCGCACTGGTGGGAAAAAAATCCGCAAAAAAACTGTGATCTGATAAAAATTTACGCGAGAAACAAAACACGCGGTTCAATATCGCTGTGTGGACAGGTCCTTACTGCAGAACTGGCTCTATTTTTATTAATCAAATGTACCATCAGGTAACTAGGTGTAGGTACCTAATAAGGCACCAGGGCCTTCCTTTCTAGGGTATACCTGGTTCCCCGGCAATTAGTACCCGGCGAAGGCGTGCGGTTTTAGTCGGTTCGTGTCCGACATGCCACCGACAGGTGGTATCCGAGGGGATTTCCGCACGGAAAAAAAAAAAAAAAAAAAAAAAAGGTACCTAATAAGGTTTTATAACAGAAACAAAAATATCAATGGATTAATGGTAGCTAGTTGGTTAACGACAACCTCTAAAGTGCTGAAATGTAAAAACAACACCAAGACTTTTAGGCTAGTGGATCAGAAGTTAGGTTATAATCCCTCCTGGGATGTGTTCAGTTCAGAGGGATGGTAGGAGACCTTTTGGCCTACTTTAAATAAAACTATAAAATTATGTAGTAACAATTTATAATCCTACTTTTAACATTACATAATAATCTAATGGACTAGTTCTAGAGACCATGAATTTATCCCCACATCGCCCTCTGTACACCTGACAGTTTGTTGTAATCTGCTAGATGGCGCCACACTATTCGGCTCATGCGCCACTCTTTGACAATACCTCGGGGTCTAAGGGTAAAAAAACAACACATTAATAACTAGCTGACCCGCGCAACTTCGTCTGCGTCTCTCAATGGTAATAAATTTTCTCCGTTTTTGAAACATTCTTCATTGGTGCTCCGCTCCTATTGGTCTTAGCGTGATGATATATAGCCTATAGCCTTCCTCGATAAATGGGCTATCTAACACTGAAAGAATTTTTCAAATCGGACCAGTAGTTCCTGAGAGTAGCGCGTTCAAACAAACAAACAAACAAACAAACTCTTCAGCTTTATAATATTAGTATAGATAACTTCACACATGGCAGTTTCATACCAAACCAGGCAGAGCCTGTACTATGGTAACCAGACTGCAGATAAATATACTTAAATATACTACCTACATATTCAAGAAAAAATTACACCCAGAACAAATGATCATGCTCATCACACAGTATTTATCCTGGGTGGAATCGAAACAACGACCTCCGGCTTAGCAATCCAGGTCACACACAACTAGACCAACAAAACTGTCCATCAATGTTAAATATATTAAAACATTTTCAACATAAATAAAAAGAACAATAGCCTTCAGCATTTCTGATGTTTTCTGCTGTGACTTTAGAGTAGGTGAAGATAATTTAACTAATGTAAATTGGCTTGTTGTTTATCTCTAATTTGGAATACCTATTGCTTAGTGGCTATTGCCTGTTCAATCCATAACATCATACATTCATAACCATCTAAGCAAAGAGATCTAAGCAATTTAGCCAACTTACAGTTGTAATAGGCAGTGCGGTAACTAGAGGAGTGCTAGCAGTACCTAACCTAAATAAATAACCAAACCAGTGACGTAATGCAAAAGAGTGGTCATGAGTTTATTTGCCCTTTCTTCTCATAAGGCTCAAACCCTTGGAAACAGGGGGTTGTAGATCAGCACAGGCATATCATAGATTTTGTTTATTAAATTTTTATTAAATTGATTTGCTTACTATTAGACAAAACAGAGATTGTTGCTATTGTGTGTGTTAGTTATATATAACTTTCATCATCATCATCATCATCATCATCAACAGCCTATACTAGTCCACTGCTGGACATAGGCCTCTCCTTAGAAAGGAGGTTTTGGCCTACTATAACTTTAGTCTACATAAAAGACGATTTCAAACAATTAAAAAAAAATTAAATAAAGAGTGAGTGTAGAATGGACGTAAAAAAGATTCTGAAGTCATGATCATTTACTTTAGAGGTATGTGTGAGAAATGGCCCATCTATATGATCATACGACCAAAGCAGAGAAGAGTATCCTGTTTCCAGAATTGAAATTGAAATACTAAACAAACTGAAGACAAACCTTGATGTTATAACACATCTGTTATTTATTCTCATTGGAACAGCATTTAGTTCAAATTTATTAATGTCTTTGTCTGCTAATTCTCTAATTTCCACAGGTAAAATATCATTTTTTCTAATTGCATTAATACGGGTTCGTTCGAGGAAATTCTCAGCGCTCATTCGACGTCTTTTTACATCCCGAATCATGAGCCAGTTGGCCCATTTGTTACGAACTTGTTGATACTGCAAAAGAATACAGAATATAGATGTATATAGGTATACTTTGCCACGATTATCGAGAATCAAAGGATATTAATACATTTTTGAGTTATTCAATGAAATTATACTATAATATACTGTCAATCTACTGTAATATACTGACCCCATACCCAGCGACATTTTGGGATTTCCAAACAAATTTTGAAAGGTTAGAAATATTTAAATTCATATTTTTTAAATCCTATTGATAATATGATGGCTGAACACAAGAACTTCGCTGTGATTATAACAAACTTCATTCAGTTTAACAAAAAAGTCAAATTGTATTATCACCACAGATAATACTTTTTTTTTTTAATTTAATGACCTGGTAACTAAGACCTTTAAGTCAAGTCTTATTTTATTTGAACAAACATTGTACTTTCACTGTACTTCATTTTAAATTGTTTTAATAGTGTAAACAGATAACACTGTATACTAGTCTAGTCATTGACAGATTATTACATATTCAGTCTATGGAGTGTAGAGGTAAGGAGAATCATCTTCGACAAGCTTCGTACATGAAGTGCCCGTCAAAATGCTTTAATTGGGGACGCTACAGTAGCATTAGGGTAAATGATAATGGCCCGAGGTATGTCGGGGCATCAGGGACTTCCTTTCTAGGGTATACCCGGTTCCCCGGCTATTAGTACGGCGTGCGGTTTTAGTCGGTTCGAGTCCGACATGCCACTGATAGGTGGTAGCCGAGGGGATTTCCGCACGGAAAAAAAAAGGGTAAACGATAAAATATAAAAAAAAACATACTTAGGCCAAGTCCACACCGATATTTTATGCGGACAGTCCCATATAGATCCTATGTCACAGATTGGAGGTGATCTGTGTATTCATATTAAAATAATACTGACGTAATCCACAGATATCTATAGATGGTAACCCACACTTACACAGTACATGTACGAGTATATAGGTTCCACTATAATCTAACAATTCATTTTGAGAAACGATAATCTGTTTGGTTATCACACATATATGATTGATGTTTTGTTTTCATAACTTTATTGGCAGTAATTTTATGTCCAGTATAGTCCGGGTTACAATACGCCATTGGCCTTCAGCATAATAAAATGCAAGTGACGCCGCGGGAAGACTGTTTTCAATACGGTATTTACAAAATCAGAGCTGTAGCAAACCGTATGTATTCGTTACTGAGTAACGGGTACGCCATCTAGTACCGAGTAACGAAACGTTACTCACGAATACTTTTCGTTACTCGCATGTTTCGTATCATGGGTAATTTCACTTCAACAACAAAAGAGATTTGTTGTCATTTTAATTGATTCAAACTTTTTTATTTAATTTTATGTTTAATTTCGTTCTAAGAAATAATTATTTTTCGTTATTTTAGTTTTGTTTAAAATATCATTCCAAGAACAAAAGAGTTTGTTGTCATTTTAATTGATACAAACTTTTTTATTTAATTTTGTTTAATTTCAATCTAAGCAAAACTATTTTTATGTTGATTTATGGTTGAAATGCTGTTTAAATTTTATTGACAATAAATAATTTTGGACGCCTATTTGTAGCTTTTTCATTATAATATAAACATAAGTCTGGTTTAAACTACGGCAAAGTGAAAAATGCAGTTTGGCATGTAATGAATATGTATTATTTCTACAAATTGAAATTATGAATGCTGCGATGCCGCACCTAGTACATACATTCATATCTTATAATAAAATTATAAAAAGAACATGAAAAATATGTTCGCAAACTATTCGTAACGTGATTGGTTAAAAAAATGAAAATATATGTAATTTGTGCGTATATACTTCAAAAATATTTGAACCGATGTGCGCGCATTATGGTGCCAAAATTTCAAATATTCAAAACAAAGTTTTCTTTAACAGAGTATGCAGTAAAAAAAAAAGTATATACTTGTAAAAAGTGTTTTCATAAAATGTTGCCACTAAAATTTCATAAATTTTATGTAATAGTATGAAATAAACGAAAGTGAAAGTTTTAGTCTCTCATGAAATTTTAAAATTATTTCACTGTAACTTAATTTTCGAACAATTAATTAAATCGCACGCTTGTACGCGTACGCAATACGACTCGAGTAACGATTTGTTTCTCTAGCATAACAGCATGTTATGAGGTATTAGGAGTAACGAGTAACGAGTAACGATCCGATAGTAACGAGTACTGAACGTATAGTAACGAATACATACGGCTACGTTTTTTTTTCGTTACTTTTACACCTCTATAATACAAAATAGTTACCATATGGCAACATTGTGGACAAGTTATGACATGTAAATGAAAAAAAGCGAGGCAAACAGAAATTTGTTTGATCATTGATGTCAACTTTTGTTTAACTGATTACTAAACATTAAGTACGTTATAATAACTACCTAATTGTTATACCACTAGTATTTAGATAACTGTACGTTATTGTGTAGTATAATAAGTTATAGTGTAACAATGAGTTCAAAAAGAATCTCTTCTCAATCACAATCTCTTTCTACTCAGAATAAAAAGACAAAGCTGTCGGATTCAAATAACTATCTTCAAACTACGTTGCGTGAAAGCGGACTTTGCTTAAAACATCCTCCGGATAAGTGCGTAGCAACACAGGAAACTGTTCATATTATTCGTAGTATTAAAAAAAATCTGGAGAAACACTTGGAATATCCAAGAAATGTATCGGATCTATTCTCTGACTTGGTAAAGGAGTGCAAAGATTTAGTAGTTTTTAAACACTACTTATTTCCGAATATTGTAAGATTGTCAGAAGATAGCGGCGAAGAGTACCCAGTTGCGGACAGTGTATTTAAAATACTACTCAGTGTACCAATTCTTCAAAACAAATTAAGTGAATGCATATTCGAAAAAGCGATTGACTTAGCTGCGTCATTAAAATGTGGACCATGGATACAAATGATCCTAAAATGTTTTTCATCTCTGGACAGCATAGTCAATACAGATAAAATGTCTACAAATCTCATTAATCTCTTGGATGTTGCTGAGGAGAAAATGGTAAAATTAGAAATCATAACTGCTATACCTGACATCATTGGTGATCAGGAACATGACAATATTGCTGCTGAAATGAGTAGAATTCTTAGTGAAGATCATGATCTAATACCTGCCATACTAGATTGTCTTTCATATCTCTGCTTGTCTGATGACAAATATGAACAGTTGCAAAATAAATCTTTATCTCTCTTAATGAGCCTTTCAAGGTCCAATTATTTCCCTAATTTTGTTAAGTTCTTGCTTTTACCTGGTCGTATGAGTGAAACTGCATATTTAGAAGCTGTCCAAGGTCTCAGAAATTCTCTAGGCTGGCCGACAACTGGACAACATCAGGAAATAGCTACAAGTCAGGTCCTCACTTCTTCAGCAATAAGAAACTCTATAGTATCATCTAAAGTTATTGGAAATTGCTGGTTAAAAGTGCTATCTTCTTGCAAAGAAAGTTCAGATCATAAACCTATTGATTTTATTTTAATGCTTATTCTATATACAACATCAGAAGAAAAACAAAGACTTGTAGAGAATTTACTAAGAAAACAAATCAAATTAAATATATTTAAAAACGAAATGTTAAATGAAACTTTTAAGAATTATAAATCAATTTTAAAAGAATATTTGAGACATTTGTTAGATTTGTCCAATTCTCTGTTAAAGACAAAAGCAGATTCAGATGTTGTAGCCTTTGCTTCGCACATGTACACTTTAATGTTTGAAGAGTTAGAAGAATGTTGCCAGACTATTGTGGCAGAGTTACTTCAGCTCTGTCTAGACTCTAAGCAATGTGTTATGAGCATATTACTCATATTAAACAAAGTTGCTTTAAAGGACATGTCACTTTTGAAACCACAAAGTGTCCAAATGCTAACTCTCCTAGACAGAATGGATGACATGCCCCTTGCTGAAGTCAGGGCTGTTATGAATTTATTATGTGGCTTAGCCTATACCTATGAAAATTCTGTTATAAGAGATGATATTCATATGATTATAAAAAAAGAATTAGGTTCATCTAATCCTGCAATCAAAGTCCAGGGCATACTTGGAGCTACTCATGCTGTCAAGTATTTAATGATTGCCAATTCAGATGATGATCAAACAAGAGAGTTACCTGATGATGTAAGTTATAGTTCAGTAACACATCTCTCAGAAGGTGACCTCCGTGAAGCTGCACAAGTTATAGAACTAATAAGTCGAAGTACTAGACAATTTCCCGATATGATTGCATTCTTCTACGATGAACTATCACAAGTAATATCAGCTGCTACTGTAATTAATAAAAATTTCCTATCTTGGTTAACTGACGCTGTAACAAATGATTTGCAACAAAACTTTATTGTTGATGCAATTGAAACTGATAGGATTGGGGAAATAAAACTATCAATGCAATATTGTCTCAATGCTGACAGTGAGATGGATGAAGTAATAGCCATAAATATTGCTGGATTAACTTTACAATCTATATCTGAAATAAATATAGCTATTCTTTCCCCACTTTTTCAACTAGTTCAAACTCTACATTCTAAGCAGAGTGAAAATAATCTGTCAAGTATAGATGCACTGCTTGGATGTCCAGTTGTGATGCCTAAATTTGATATTGACATAGTTGAAGATATGGATTCTGCTGAAGTAACTAAAATACTTGATTGTATAATTCACTGTGTTAATTGGTTCAGGGAATTACTAAACGCATTTGCTTCGCAAGCTGATGAAGATTTGAAAAAGAAAACCTTAAAGAGAGTTTTACAAATTGAACACTTAGAAAGAATAGTTTTAGATATCTTAATTAAAACCAAGATAATGTATAAGCCACCTATTTGTACTTTCAATATAAGTAAGTATACAGGAGAGCAAGTGGAACTTAAACCTATTAAACTTCTTAACAGTAAACAAAAAACATCTAAGAAGCCTGCTCAGGATGACACTGTGCTACCTGAAACAATAAAGTCACAAACAACACAAAACAATGTATCCGTTAAAAGTAGTCTCGAAATATCTCATAACATACCCTTGAGACAGTTAAATTTAAACTTGCTTCATTTAATCAAGATGGATATGACAGATGATAAGGAGTCAGAATCTGAATTGACTGTTAAAACGTTAATATTTTTGTTAAAGAGTGTAAATAGCAATATAGAAAATATACTAATTTCTAAAATTAAGCGCAAAACATTTTTGACCAAACAAGAAAATGTGACCTATGATGCAGGAAAAGCTGAAGAATGTGCTAAATCAATTGGTGAAGTCCTACCCAAGGTGATGGAGCACTTAAAGTGTGTTACTTCATCCTTGGAAAAGTCAATAAATGAAAACATTAATGATATTGGAATCTCAAATTCTTCTGAAGTGATTGATAACCTAACTTGTTTAGAATATATTTATAATTTGAATACAATCTTTCTTAAGTGGATTGGATTCAGAAACCAGCAACACAATGCATTATTAAAGAGTTCACTACGGACTATAGCAAGTCCAAGTACTCCTACCATATCATTGAAAGATTTGCTGATAGCAGTAGCTCAATTCTTACAAAAACATGAAAAGTATTGTCTGCAGCTTTCTACTGCAGTATCTTTGATGGAATTCTTAAAAAGTATTCAAAATTATTCAGATAACAGAATTATACTCCATATTTTAAGGAATTTAGCACAAAGCTTTTTATCTAAACAATGGAAAACTCCTGATGGTAATTTGGAAAAGGGTTTATATTTTAATCAATGCGTAGATCGTTTGGCTTCGATTTATTTCATAAACAATGAGGTGATAGCACTAAAGAATTTGACATTACAATTGAGCCAGGAAATAAAAGATTTGAACACACGCACAAGTACATTAAAAAATCTTAAGTGTATCAACAAAAGCAATTTCTCCATATTATACAGAAACCTCGGCACCGCAGTCTACGATGCAACTAAAGCTCGTTTGGACAAAGGAATGACCAATTCAGAACACTTAGAATTATGGAGAGACGTGGCAACAATATTAAAGAACATGTCTGATATAGCTAAAACTCTTGAAACAAGAAATAACTTGTCAGTTTTCTTCAAAAAATCCTTGCCAGTACTAAAACTTTTCCAATCGCAAGGAATCCCCATACTAGAGATCCAGTTGAAGAATGACACGCAGGAAGTGTTAGAGATTTTAAAAATTCTACAGCAATCTACTAGGTTCTTACAGACATTATGTTGTCACTCAAGATTGAAAAAAGATACTGTATTGATGAGCAAAGTTCCACACATGAGACAACTACTCGAAACTTTAATATACAAAGTAAAAGCTGCTTTAGCTGCAAATAAATGTTCTGAAGCATTCTGGATGGGCAATCTTAAGAACAAAGACATACATGGGGAAGTAATTGCATCCCAGCAAAGTGTTGAAGATGAAGAGTTTGGCGAGGACTGTGATGAACAGTTGCCAGAAGACGACAACACAGATGAAAGTGATGATGAAATGATTAATCCCGAGTCCAGAAGTATCAGTGATATTGTTTAAATAATGAGTAATATAAAATATATTTTTTTGTCTACAACCATGTTTTTCTTTGATGCCAGAAAACTACAACTTAGATTTTCAGCTTACTAGTGTACAGGGCCTCAATTCTGCTATTTTATGTTTACGCCAAGCCACTGTCATACCACTGACACGCTATTGAGATGCCGTCGAGTGGCCATTGGCATCGGTATAAATATCGGTAGTTGAAAATATATTACGTTTTTTGAGGAAATGATTTATAAATTTTTATAATAATGGTGGGTGTCGTAAGTAGCGACTAAGGGCGCGAACTACGCAGAACAGCAGCAATGCAAAGAAAAAAAAAACTTGAAACAAACCCTATACCAACCCGTCTGGCCAATGTATTGTGGGACAAAACCAACTTTCTGAGAGACCTATGTCCAGCAGTAGACTAGAAAAGGCTGTTAATGTGTGATGTGATTAAATACGAAGTAGTGTAAACTACTCTTGATATCTATAATTTCACGTATTTTTCACCAGGCTTAGACAGAAAAAGATGAAGAAAACATACTTTTGGAATAATTGAATGGTAAAAAGAATAACATTACAGGTACTGTAACTTCACTTTATTTAACTTACACATATACGCCAAGTGGTATTAACCATAGAGATAAACAAGTGTAAATAAAAGCTCTATTAAGAAGTCGTATACACCGCCATCTAACTCGTGTGGCCTTCCTAGGCTTGGCTATGTAACTCTTGTTTTCTTAAAATCCATTGAAGACAATTGAAAAAACCTGAAACAATTTATATGAATAAATAAACTATATTTCCTTGTCTTAAAATCTGATGTTAAGATTTCTTGTAACGGCCTATAATAATATTACGATAGAAGTATTAAAAATATTACAAACACCTGTATCTGAACTTAGCACCAGTTGTTTGAACAAAAAAAACATTAAATCGTCCTTCTTTGAGTTAATTTTACATTGCTGACCTAGTATAGTATTAGTAAAACTTTAGGACAAGTTTCTTAAGAGAATTATTATCTGCCTGTGATTATGCCTATCTGTGAATTTTCAAAAAGACGGATACATACATTGCGAGGCATGTGCAGTGAACCACCATTCATTGCATGCTTTGCAAATAGTTATTTTTTTTATCTTAAGCGAAATAATTTGCAAAATGCTATGACAACACACAATAGACATCATTTCAATAAAACAATATCAACTGCCTAGGTGGTGCAGTGGTAGCGTATGCGACTGCTGTGCTGAGGTCTTGGGTTCGATTCCAGGTCAGACTAGAATGTTTGTATGATCTGCAAATATTTGCTTCGGAGTTTGGATGTTTTCTTTGTATCATATATGTATGTATTTTAAAAAAAGTTTTCTATCAGTCAATTTAGCTTTTATATTACAAGCTCCGCTTAGTTTGAAACAAGATGGCATTGTATGTCAGATATCCGAAATATTATTATTATATATTTATATTTCTGCATCAATAACATTTAAAACATTAAAATGAACCTAATTACGACTTACTTCTTTTAAATTTCTTGAGATGCTAGTGCTTGTTGGGTTTCTTTAATGAGATGTTGGGCAAGTTAAATATCCATGATGATTTTGGTTTATCCTGAAAATTCGTTACATTTAAACACGATGCATGTAAAACACATTTGAAGGTAAGAGAGGTTATATTTCATCAGAGAATAAGTTTCTCTCCAATATCAACAGATAATACATGCAATTTATAAACATCATTTATAGAGCGAAACTAGAAATAAGCCTATAGTTATGGTAACAAATGTTTTATTTATTCCATAGTTAAAGGCTGATTTATTGACAAACATATTTTCCAATAACAACATTTCACAGCGAAAGTATTGTTTCATAGCGTTTTAGATACCTTCAAAGGAAAATAGGTGATATTAACTATTACAAATTGCCCTCCTACATCTTAAAGTTCTTTTCTGTATTTAAAAGACTAATATGTAGAGACCATTACTCAGTAAAGCCATATATTTACCTAATAATTAAGAACACTAAACTGACCTCATTGTATTTATTATTCTACATGTGGGTTTGATTTGACATAGTAATCCTAATCTATCAGCCAAACTTCTGACTTAGAAAAAGTGTTCAAGTTTTTAATTCCTTAAGCAAATTATTATGTAGCTGGCACTGTAAATTACAAAAAGAAGAATAAAACTTAGGAATTTAAAGAGATCTTGTTCAAAGTAAAAAAATATGCATATCAGATATCACCTTCATAGAGCAATACATTTGGTGCAAATAACATTTAAATTACCAAAATGAACCTAATTAGAACTTACTTTTTTCAATTTCTTGAGATTCTAGTGCTTGTTGGGTTTCTTTAAGATGCTGGGCAAGTTAAATATCCATGATGATTTTGCTTTATCCTGAAAATTGATTACATTTAAACACACTGTATGTAAAACACGTTTGCAGGTAAAAGGTTAATATTTTATCAGAGAATAAGTTTCTCTCCAATATCAACAGATAATACATGCAATTTATAAACATCATTTATAGAGCGAAACTAGAAATACGTCTACGTATACGTATGGTAACTATTATTCCATAATTCGACGACCGAATGGCGTAGTGGTTTGTGTAACGGACTGCTATTCCAAAGGTCACGGGTTCGATTCCGCTCAAGTCAAACATTTGTGAGCATGAACATTTAATGTTTGATTTGGTCTTTGTGTTTCTATCTATAATATATGTATTTACAAAAAAAAAAGTATATATGTATTTATATCAGTTGTCTAGTACCCATAGTACAAGCTCTGCTTAGTTTGGGACTAGATGGCGTTGTGTGAATGTGGTACAATTTCATTTATGTATTTATTATTATTTATTTCTATAATTATAGTAACAACTTTCCTAAGGCCAGAAAACAAAGAAAGTATTGTTTCATAGCGTTTTAGAGACTATCAAAAGGAAACTAGGTATTATTAACTATTATAAATTGCCCTACTAAAAACTATTATCTATACTAATATTATAAAGCTGAAGAGTTTGTTTGTTTGTTTGAACGCGCTAATCTCAGGAACTACTGGTCCGATTTGAAAAATTCTTTCAGTGTTAGATAGCCCATTTATCGAGGAAGGCTATAGGCTATATATCATCACGCTTAGACCAATAGGAGCGGAGCACCAATGAAGAATGTTTCAAAAACGGAGAAAATTTATTACTATTGAGAGACGCAGACGAAGTTGCGCGGGTCAGCTAGTTAATTATACACCTTAAGTTCTTTTCTGTATTTTAAAAACTCCTAATACATACAGTGACATTGAAAAAGTATTTAAGTTTTTAACTTCTTCAGAAAATGATTATTTAGCTGTAACTCCAATTGCAAAAATTTGAAGACTATTAGACTAGTTATAAAATTCCTATAGCATACAATAACATTGAAAACATCAAAATAAACCTAATTAGGACTTACTTCTTTTTCAATGTCTTGAGATTCTAGTGCAGAGTTTCTTAAAGATGTTTTGCAACTTAAGCATTCAAGATGATCTTAACAATTACTTTGTCCTGAAAATTAGTTAAATTTAAACACACTTCATGTAAAACACGTTTGAAGGTAAGAGGTTAATATTTTATCAGAGAATAAGTTTCTCTCCAATATCAACAGATAATACATGCAATTTATAAACATCATTTAATAGAGCAAAACTACAAATACGTCAGCTTATAGTTACAGTAACAATTTTTTTTTATTCCATAACTATAGGCAGACTGATTGACAAACATATTTTTTGAAAAACAATGTTTCTAAGACCAGAAAATAAGGACAACGGTTTAGATACTATCAAAAGAAAACTAGGTGTAATTAACTTTTATAAACTGCTCCTACATCTTTACTTCTTTTCTGTATTTTTAAAACACCTAATACATAGTGTCATTGAAAGTTTTTAATTTCTTAAGCAAATCTTTATTTAAATAAATGTACCTCCAATTGCAAAAATTTGAAGACTATTAGACTAGTTTCAAAATTTCCTTGACCTTGTCCAAATTAAAAAAGTTTCCATAGCAATACATTTGCAGCAATAACATTTAAAATATCAAAATAAACCTAATAAGGACTTACTTCTTTTAAATTTCTTGAGATTCCAGTGCTTGTTGGGTTTCTTTAAGATGTTGGGCAAGTTAAATATCCATGATGATTTTGCTTTATCCTGAAAATTATTCACATTTAAACACACTGCATGTAAAACACATTTGAAGGTAAGAGGTTTATAGTTTATCAGATAATAAGTTTATCTTCAATATCAACAGATAATACATGCAATATAAAAACATCATTTACTAGATTGAAACTACTAATTATCAAGAGATCAACTGATTGATAAACATTTTTTAAGGCTAAAAAATTCGGAAGGTTATTGTTTCACAGCGTATTTAAGACTATCGAAAGGAAACCATTATTGACTATTATAAATTGCTATTTTAGATCTTTAGCCCTTTTCTGTACTTTAAAAACTTAAAATACATATTTGACTGCACCAATGGCATAGTGGTTTGAGCGGTCGCCAAGTCGTTTCCTACTACACTGAGTGTTGTGGGTTCGTTCCCTACATGGAATGACATGACACTTTGTGTTGTCAAGAGTGTCCCTTGTGTCTATTTCATCAATGTTTGTAAAGTCCCCCTCGACACAGGATATATTCCTAATTGTCTATAAAAATATAGAAATAGAAAGAAAGAACTAATACCTAACTAGCTTTTGCCTGATGCTCTGCCAACGTAAATGTCAGTTATTGCAGTAAAAAGTAACATTTATCTTTCCAAAAGAAGCAGAGTATGGTCATAAAAAAAACATTTTAATGAGTTAACAGTTCTTGATTCCCAATACAAAGTTACACAACCTTAAAGTATGATTTCAGGGGTAAAAACTATCCCATTGGAAAGTCCCGGGAAAGGGCATATCCTTACCCAGGACTCGGACTATATCTATATCAAATTTCATCTGAATCTGTTCAGAGGTTTAAGCATACAGATAGATAGACAGACAGACTGACACACTTTCACATTTAAATTATTAGTATGGATAATTAAGAACAACACTAAACTGACCCACATTGTAATTCAACATGTTGATTTGACAAAGTAATCTTAATCTATGTGCCAAACTTTTGAATTAATTTAAAATATTGCTGATTTAAAATGAATAAAAAAAAATGAACCTAATTAGGACTTACTTCTTTTTCAATTTCTTGAGATTCTAGTGCTTGTTGGGTTTCTTTAAGATGCTGTGCAACTAAGTAGATATCCATCCATGATGATTATGAGAATTCCTTTATCCTGAAAATTAGTTACATTTAAACACACTGCATGTAAATCATATTTAAAGGTAAAAGATTAATTTCATATCAGAGAATCTTCTCATCAATATAATCAGATTTCATAAACGCAATTTATAAACATCATTTAATAGAGTGAAAATACGAGTTAAGTGATTCCGAACACTCCAAACTTATTCTATAAATGTCTTGATTTTTACAACATTAAGTGCACTCACCGCAAAAATTACTCCTGTCAGGTAAGATTTTCTTTCAGTTTTTCAGGACTGTGTAGAGCCTCATAACTTGCAAAATGGGCAATTTTTTTCCTTCTGTGATGTGTGGAGAGTATATCGAGATACTTTAGACCTGAAATTCAGCAAACAATAAATTCTTTAAATCAAAAGTTGTAATCATCACACTAGTTTTAAGGTTATGGTCGAAAAGAGACTACGAGGTAACAAATAAAATACAATCATTCAACTTTCTAAGTTACAAGATAAAGAGACACTCTAACAAAGCATAAATTATCCGATTATTAGAATAAAAAACGAGTAACTTACAACATGGTAGCAAACATTTTAAGTATTTTATCACTGAAGTGATAATAAAAATCACAACTCAGTCAGTACCATGAGCTGAGCAGTTTCAGTACCTATTACAATGTACTCTGTGCTACTCTCTTACGAGTGCAGTGAGCACCACAGAACATATATACCCCTAAAGGGGTGATGAGGGGTGAAGGGGTGGTGAGCACGCACGCAAAGCACCAGTGTTGCCAACATTTAAATAAACTCTCCCACAAATTCGACATCTAAAATCACTAGAAACGAAAATCAACCATACTCTAATAGGCACTAAATTTCCCACCAAACATTTTTTTTGTAATTACGAAAGAAAACCATAAGCATATTAATAAAGAACTAGTTTCCTTTATTAAAATTTAATACTGATACTATTTTTTTTTCTCAGCACCATTATTATCGGTTCCAGATTAATACGATTCTTTGGTATTGACAACGTTTATGAGAATTTCATATTTGTTGCAGCATTGTCCTTCCAACTTCAAACCACTGCGTATTCTTAACATAACAGATAAAAGATTTAACTTCTTTCTATTCTATTGTCTGCCTGGTCAGTGCAGTGGTAGCCTATGCGATTTCTGTGCTCGGGTTCGGTGCCGGGGTCGGACCAAATATTTGTTTCGGAGTTTGGGTGTTCTATGTACAATATTATGTATGTTTTTACAAAAAAAAGTATGTAAGTATTCTATCAGTCAATCTAGCTTTTATAGATGGCATTGTGTGTAAGATGTCCAAAAATATTATCATTACTATTCTTCTGTTTATACCTATAGTCTCTCAACTCAACAAACTTAAAATGTGGCAGTAATAAGAGAGTCATACCAAAGATCACTATTTCCTCAAATGTCAAAATCCCTTAGCCCCATGGGCATCTCTGGAGAGCAATAGAAGCACCTCTAGTATGTGGCAGTTTCTTAACACTTTGGGCATTGGTAGACGACGGACCGAGTTTCATTGGTTTGAATGATATCAATCTTCATTTCTCTTCTTCTGCTCAACCGGATCATTAAATATAGAGTCGGTCACTGAATTTCATCGCTAGTCTGCCCAGACCCAATATTGTCTTATTTGAATTTTCTCCTGTGTCTTCTGTCTGTTTGTCTCTTGTAATGCAATGGTTTCCAAGCCGTAGGAAGATAGTTACAATCCTTGATTACGTCCTCGAAGTTGTAGCTCACATTATTGACTTCTTTCTCGACTCCGAAACCTCTCTCTCTCATAAAGCCTACATTATCCTATATTGCCTAAAATTAATAATCCATCTCTTCTTAACATTTCTATCCAATCCCTTTCCTATAAAACGTTCCATTCACACTAATATTATAAATGCGAAAGTGTATGTGCGTTTGTCTGTTACCTCTTCACGCTTAGGGTAGGTTCAGATGACAAGCGCTCAGCGCGCGTTGAACGCGCGTTGAATTTTTGTATAGTGTTCACATGGTGCGCGCTTGTCAGGCGTTAAACGCGCGTTGTCGCGGCCAGTTTGAGTTCTACATTTGTCGAAGATGGACGTAGAAACAGTTTTATCGGTGATTTTATACAGACGGCAGAAACGACACAACAGAAGACGGAGATATTGGGTTCACCCAATTTTGTCAACCAGGCTGACTGAAATTCAGTACATTATTTTATATCCTAAGTTAAGGCAATTTGAGCCCAAATTCTTTAACTACTTAAGAATGTCCATAAAGTCATTTGATGACTTACTGACTCTCATAAACGATGAACTCGTAGCAGATAAAAACGCTGTGCGATATAGCATTTCACCGGAAGAAAAACTCATAATTACATTGAGGTAAGTTTTTTAATAATCAACATAATCTATAAATCAAATAAATCAAATCAACTTGTTTAGGAACAATTTTTTTAAAGAAAAATAACATTTTGTTACTCGCAGAATAACTGTAACTCTGATTCTTTTCAGTGGGTTTCAATACTTCCATGACTAAATTCCTTGATTAATTCTAGATGTTTTTTTAATTAATTTTTGTATTTGTAAAAAGAGAACTTTAACCTTAAAGAACAGCTGCGAAATCGAGAGTTGATCGGAACTGAATTTTGATGGAACTTTTATCACGATGACCTTTAGGTATGTTGGCCTCGAACCGACTTGGACCTCGGACTGAGTCCTGCTTGCTGTGCTGGACAGACTTGGCAAGAGGTGACTCTAATTTGAAATACAATCGTAGTTAGTTAATTAATAATAATACACCAATTCCGTATTAAAAGCTTCGGTTTCCATTTCGGACGATTTCCGGACGAACTTGACGAACCCTAAAATACGTCTATCCACGTCGAAAGCGCGCGCTCAACTGAACGAAAACATAGAAAACCAATGATCTCAAAGCGCGCGTTGACGCGCGCTGACAACAGTCGAGCGCTGGCGCAGCGTTGAACGCGCGCGTTACTAAAATGCGCGTTAGCATGTGTACGGCCTGAATAAAATGTATGTAGTTGTAAACGCGCGTTGAGCGCTTGTCATCTGAACCTAGCCTTAAACTGCTGAACTGATTTAAATGAAATTAGGTATAGAAGAAAGAACAGGATAATTTTTATCCCAGAAATCATCACATAATTAAAACCATATTATTTTATCATAGAATCATTAAGAAGTTACGTAGATCTCGTTCTTAGACTATATCCACCTTCAAAATTGAAAAATCTTAACAATTAAATGTGACAAAGAAAAAATCTGCGAAAAATTGTGAATTAACGACTAAATTTAGGGAGAAATCAGATCGCTAGGTGCCCCAGATTTTTGAAATGTGTCGCTGACGTGTGCGTTACCCCAGCAAAATAATGTCGAAAATGGTCATTTAAACGTTATAGATAATTAGTTGCTCCCCTTCTGTAATTGTTAAGCACATTTTTAAATTTGTTTCACTTAAACTTTTTTAGTTATTTCAAAAAAACATTTCCTGCTGGGGTAACGTTTGAAACGTTACCGCAGCCAGACATTTTCTTTTTTAATTGTAATATTGAAATAAATTTTAGCTAAATAATTAGTTATCTGGACTAGGTAAATGTTACAACTTATTTGGTATTTGTATTTTCTTCGGCTGCGAAGTTATTCGAAATCCTGCTGGAGTAACGTTTGTGGGTTTGCTGGATCTCTGAAACGGGTAAGCGG